ACAGTCACCCTCAACACTATTAGACACAGCATACATGGCAGCAAGAATAGCATCAAAATCAAGATCAAAGATAGCAACCCCCGCCCTAGACAGCTCTCCCCAGCGAGGGATCTCAGAGGCCTCAGGGAACTGGTGACGCCACGCGTCCGTCAGGCGGCCGAAGCAGCGCTGGGTGGAGTGCGGGCCCCCGCACTGCTCACCAGCGCGGTCGCCGGTACGGAGAACGTAGGTGCAGGGACCAGTACCCCCACCACGCTGACGCGCAGCGTACCACTCACGAAGCTGCTGAGGGGACAGGGTCTCACGACTGCGCTGCTGCTGCTGGCGCGGACCACCACCGGACCCACTCCTCTGCGCAGAGCCGCGACCAGGTCCACCGCTGCCACCGCCGCCTCCGCCACCTCCGCCGCCTCCGCCACCTCCGCCGCCTCCACCACCTCCGCCGCCTCCGCTCCCTCCGCCACCGTCGCCGCCTCCACTGCTAGCACCAACACCTCCACCCCCGCCACCACTCCCACCACCACCCCCACCCCCTCCACTGCCTCCACCACCACCTCCACCGCCCCTGCCAGCCCCTCCAGCGCCCTTGCCCCCCTTGCCCTTGCCTGTGAGGCGTCTCCCGCTAGGGGCAGACGCAGCGCCGACCGACTCGAAACCAACGAGGTCGGCCGCAGCAGCAGAAGCAACAGAGGGCAAGAGGGGGGAGGGGGAACACCCCTTAAAGAAGGGGGTGCGAGGGTCACTACGAGAGGCTCCTACAGCGACTATGCTCTTCTCTGCTGCTAGGAGGCGCTCCTCGAGGAGGTCAACGGTGAGTGTGGTGGGGCAAAGTGAGAGGAAGTGATCCCTGACTAAACGAAGGGAGTCAGGGAGGCGTGTGACTATGTAGTAGAGGGTGATGTACATGGGGGAGGGGTTCTTGGCACAGAACTCAGGAGGAAGCGCAGCGCGGTAGCGAATGTCACTAGTGCGAAGGTGCGTAATGAGGTCAGCGACTGTGGGAAAGGCAGCAAGGTCAGGGAACAGGTATGGCAGCATGAGGCGGCTATGCGCAGCAGTGGCAGGGGAGGAGCAGTGTGCAACTACAGCGTCGTACAAGGTCTTAGCACTCTTGTACTGGCTACAGTGTGCACGCTCAGTGGTCGGTAAGTGGCGACGCACAGCAAGGCGAGCAACAGCATCGCGTGTGGCCCACTGTGAGCGAACAGTGCTGTCAGCAGTAGCACGCGGGGCAGGAGAGACACCAAAGGTGAGATCAAACAGAGAGAGTCCGTCTGCCCTATCGCACTGTAGAAACAGCTGGAGGTCATCGACCCAGATCTCAAAGTAAACAGCACGGCCCTCAGCATCAAAGGTAAGGACACTGGGGGTAGCCATGACTGCAGTGGCCTAGCAGGGAGTGATCTCACCAGTCCGAGTAAGTAGGGCCGGGGCGCGCCGGTAGGAACAGTAGTGGCTCGACAGTAGGGCGGCTCGGCGGCTCGGCTGCGGGCGGCTCGGCCGCGGGGCGGCTCGGCTGCTGGGCGGCTCGGCTGCTGGGCGGCTCGGCTGCGGGGCGGCTCGGCGCTGGGCGGCTCGGCTGCTGGGCGGCTCGGCGGCTCGGCTGTTGGGTGGCTCGGCTGCTGGGCGGCTCGGCGGCTCGGTCGCTGGGCGGCTCAGCGGTGACGGGGCCAGTAGAGGCGGCGATGGGGCCGTTGGGGGAGGCGACGGGGCCGCTAAGGGCGGCGAGGCGGTCGCGAAGGGCGGCGACGGGGCCTCCAGGGGAGGGCGACGGGGCCGCAAGTGGCGGCGACGGTGCCGCAAGTGGCGGCGACGGGGCCGCAGAGGGGCCGCAAGGGGCCTAGAGGGGGCGGCGACGAGGCCACGAAGGGGCCGTAAGGGGCCTAGAGGGGGCGGCGACGGGGCCGTAAGGGGCCGTAAGGGCGCCGCGAGGGGCCGGAAGGGGCCGCGTGAGGGGCCGTAAGGGCAGCGCGAGGAGCCGACGGGCGGCGCGATGGGCCGTAAGGGGCCGTAAGGGCGGCGCGAGGGGCCGAAAGGGGGGGGGCGAGGGGCCGTAAGGGCGGCGCAAGGGGCCGTGAGAGGGGCCGCTAAGGGCGACGCAAAGGGGCCATGAGAGGGCGCGACGGTAGAGAGGGCACACTGGGCGCGACTCGGGCAGGAGCGAAGCGCACTCCGGGCAGAAAAAAAAAATCGTGGTGGGCCCTAGGAAGCGTTCCCACTAGGGAACCTGCTCGATACCATGATAAGAAACGAGGAATGAGAATGACTAAGTGAAAGTTGGGTACAAATACAAACCCTATAAATGAGTTGTACCCCATATGTGCTACCCCACTATAGCCTACATAGGCTAAGTCATATAAGCCTGACAATCTGAAAGCTTCAGCTTATGACTCCACTTATGCTTGTGACATTTTTTATAGTCCTTAAAACGACCATGGCGATCCCGAGCCTTAACAATGCCACGCGTCTAGGTAATAGCTTTTGCTTTGTCTGTAAGAATCCTTGTGCGAAATCTTTGCTTGAAACGAGAAGCTTTGAGAATGCATCGTCGCCATTGTTCTTCCCTTGAAGTTGAGTGGACCCTAGGAGACAGCGTAAGTTTATAAGCATGATAAATGTTCACTGTATGAACACGAAAATGGCATCTGCTTATAGAGCTCCGGGAGAGGTAACCACTGGTCAGCTTAGAACTTCCATCAGGCAAGAAATTGTGGGACATTGCGACCTCCGAAGTTGCCGGGATGGTATCCACTCCTCCGGTCCCCCATTCCGCTATCTGGTCCCCCATTCCCCTATCCCAACCTCCCCCACCCGCTTTCATTCGGTATTTGTTCCAAAGCTTCCTGCACAAGTCCTCCAGCTCCTTCTGCCCAGTCACCCCTCCTTGGGGCTAAACACCACTGGATCGGCCTCGGGCTACTTTGGTCACTAAGAGTTCCGAGCATAGGGCGCAGCTCCGTGCGGGCTGGGCCAGCGTGAAACGACCACAGCTTTATGGTCGTAAACATTCGTTCACAAAATGTTGGGAACTTCTAATTGGTTGATGCAAAACCAGCGCTGCATCGTTTGATGAGAGCGAGACGTGCGACACTGGGACAGTCCAGTCAGGTGTCGCATGACGGTACTATACCGATGACTGCAGACCTGCAATGTGTAGAGGATGCATTCAACAACAAACAATCCTTGTTGGTGCTGTGAACGCATAATCTTTTCGTTGGTTACCATTTCCAATATGGAATAGCAAGAGTACCTTACCGTACCACTCTTTGTTTCCTTCTTCACAAATTTCCACGTCGCTGAACCATACCTTTTCGTGAAAAAGAGGAACAGCGCGGATACGGTTAGCAGTGTCAATGAAAGCCTCATCTGAAGCTCCTGGCATTGCCATTTCCATGTGAACCTGTACACCCGGAGGACTACATGGCCAGCTTGGTGTGCTGAAAATGCATTGAACGGGGATGCACTTTAGAATGACACTTTCATAGATAGTGTAAACGTCTCGTCCGTTCGACCCGACACCATTTAATGAGCGTCATAGGAATGGAATGTCTTCTTTGAGCGCATCCAAATAGTCATTGTCTCTTTTGGAGTTTGGTGTGACGAAATCCACAAATGGACGTTCTTGACGCCCTGACAAGACAATTATCCCCCAAGCTCTTATCGAAAATGTGCGATTGCCGTTCCTCACAGCCTGGAGTGCATGCGTTTGATGCATAAAGTTTAGATCCGTCTGTGAAAGCCATGATGTTGCATAATAGACCATATTCAGCACATACGTACCTCTCGCATCGCATTGTTGTATTCAGACATTATTACCACACATGATTGTGGCAACAAATCCAATTGCAGTTGTATTTAATCGGCATGAATAATTTGGCCTCTGGCATCGCGCTTGTTTGAGGCACAGTATGGTCGCTTGACATGGTCCTTGTGGAAGAACTCGAACATGCTCGCTTCGTAGTGAATTGGAGGCCCCGCACGGTGAATGGCATTAACGAAGTGATGTGTCAAATGCGCCTTGATGAATCCCCACTTGTACAATGGAAGTGCTGTATGTAGCACTTCAAGTAGCCTATGAACATATGCAAGGAAAGTGAGTAAGGGTGACTATAGTTGTTTAAGGGCATTGGAAACTTTGAAAGTGAGTATACTTCTTGGAAAGGTCTTTCAGCTTGGTAAAGTTGTCCTCGGTGTAGTCTTTGAGCTTACCACATGTGTGGTACCACTCAATATATGTCATAACATCATCCATCTGTGGTTGCTGTACGTAGTCTCGGATGAGGAAAGGTAAGACCTGCATGACAGACCTATGCTCGTAGGCTTGGAATGACGCTCCTAGTCGGAAGTATTCACCCGATGAGAGGCGCATTCCGTCAACTCTGCATGATTCTTTGAAGCGTTTAAGAATTCTGCAGCGGGGGGTCGGATCAGACACGTAAAAAGGTTATGCACATTATCACTATTGACGTTGAATAGATTGTAATCACAAGAAATCATACCCGTCAATTGTTGCATGATGCTTGTTGTCAATGACACTATGTAATGCTAAAATAATGTGATCATACATCCCGAGGTCGGCTTGGTGCATCAAACCCGGCATCACCACCATGTATGGGCTGCCCCAAATCTTCGATTCGAAGCGAAACCCGTGTAGTGCACACTGGAAAAGAATAGGACAGGGATATAAGTGTCTAGGTTGATACTCAAATGAAAACACGGGTTGGCGTTCATAAAGCGATCAACCTACATGGACAGGATGGGTTGAGAAGGTTTGGGGATATGGCTGCCCACGCCGCCGTGCCTTTAAGGCTTCCACGATGCCGGATTGTTCTTGCGTTGTGCGATACTCGTTCAGTGTAGAGAAGGAAGCTAAAACATCCCTGAGTACCTTGCACAACGAACATGGGTACTTCGTACCCAGTGACTTCTCAGGATAATCAGAGACGTACCGATAGAGTGCCAGATATGCCGTGAAGAAGTGTCCGCACTGGTCCTGCACCCTAGTGCCCCTGTCCATACATGAGGGATGGGTGGAAAGCGATACAAGCATATATTAGAACCGAGTGGTCGAGAGAGGGGCAGAGAAGCCAAGAGAGGGGCAGAGAGATGGTCAGAGAAGCCGAGAGAGGGGCAGAGAAGCCAAGGGAGGGGCTGGGATGGCAAGCGATGGTCAGAGAAGCCGAGATAGGGTCATAGAAGAGGAGGAAGGGGCTTGGATGGCAAGCAATGGTCAGAGAAGCCGAGAGAGGGGCAATGAAGAGGAGGGAGGGGCTGGGATGGCAAGCGATGGTCAGAGAAGCCGAGAGAGGGGCAGAGAAGAGGAGGGAGGGGCAGAGAGGAGAAGGGAGGGGGTCGGATGTCAAGAGAGAAGGCTAGAGAAGGATGGAAAACGTCCTAGCTAGGTCAGCAAAGCCAACCACACTTGGATGTTCAGAGCTGTACTCAAGGCTACCAATAGTGTGTCGAGGCAACCATGAGTAAGCTTGTCCTCCCACTTGCACCCTCTTGCAAGCTGCTTTCAGGAAGACCACACTTCTCAAAAGGAGAGTGGTAGAGTCCCACTTGACCACCTGTACTTCTTGTCTCACTCTCTGTCCCTGCACCATTGGCATGACAACAATAAAAGGGTGGCAAGGGAAATGCTGCCAACAGTGCACCATGACTACGGAACAGTAACTTTCGACAGCTGTCACATGCTCCTCCGATGCTGGGTTGTCTTGAAATTCGGTGACCACCTGAAAACCACGGCAAAGGAATGCCACAACTATTTTCAGACCAATCAGAGCTTGGTAGATGAGTCAGCAGCCGAAATGGTGAACTCGGGTGTTACCAAAAAAGAGTTACACACACTTCCGGGATGCCATAAGTCTTGAAACTAAAAAAGTGGCCATGCCTTGTAAACTTCTTCAAAAATTCTGAAACTTTGAGGGTGTGAAGAACACATGTTGAAGCACCTCCCCACAAAATTCCGAATGGGAGTGCGATGAACGTGCTACTATAGTGTGTTGGCACAACAAAGGGAACGAAGAGAGGGGGGAGGGGAGGGAATGCAGGGAATGGGGAAGGGAACGGAGAGAGGGGGGAAAGGGAATGCTCAGAAAGAGGAAGGGAATGGAGAGAGGGGGGGGCAAGGGCATATCGGATGGGGGGAGGGAACGAAGAGAGGGGGGAAAAGGAATGGTCAGGAGGGGGATGTGAATGGAGTGAGGGGAGGAAAGGGAATGCTTGGAATGGGGAAGGGAATGAAGAGAGAGGGGGGGGGGGGGGAAGGGAACGGAGAGAGGGGGGAAAGGGAATGCTCAGAAGGGGGAAGGGAATGGAGAGAGGGGGGGAAAGGGAATGCTTGGAATGGGGAAGGGAACGGAGAGAGGGGGGAAAGGGAATGCTCAGAAGGGGGAAGGGAATGGAGAGAGGGGGGGAAAGGGAATGCTTGGAATGGGGAAGAGAACGGAGAGAGGAGGGGGAAGGGAATGCAGGGAATGGGGAAGGGAACGGCAAGAGGGGGGAAAGGGAATGCTCAGAAGGGGGAAGGGAATAGAGAGAGAGGGGGGGAAAGAGAATGCTTGGAATGAGGAAGGGAACGGAGAGAGGGGGAGAAAGAGAATGCAGGGAATGTGGAAGGGAACGGAGAGAGGGGGGAAAGGGAATGCTTGGAATGGGGGGAAGGGAACGGACAGAGGGTGAAAGGGAATGATCTGAAGGGGAAAAGGGCATGAATGTTTGCACGTCAACCTACCACCTATTCGAAGACGGTAAAAGAAATTGGGGAGTCTTGTTTGAAGGTAAGTTGTGGCGTGAGAAATGTCCTTTCATTTTGCATTTTGTGCTTGCGCATTTTGTGTGTGTTCTGTGCGCATTCGTTTTTGCATTTTGTGTGTTTCGTTTTCATTCATAATTGCATTTTGTGTTAGTGCATTTTCATTTGCAGTTTCACTGTTCTCATGAAGCGCTCAAATGAGGCTCACAAGATGAGCTCAAATGAAGCTCTCATGAAGCGCTCAAATGAGGCTCTCATGAAGCGCTAAAATGAGGCTCACGCGAAGCTCTCAAATGAGGCTCATGCGAAGCTGTCAAATGAGGCTCAAATGAGCCTCACATGAAAGTCCCATTTGCTTGCTATGTTTCATGCGTGGCATATGCGAGCGAGTGGTTTTTTTTTTTTTGGTAGGTGGAAATGCATTATACAACGTACAACGCAAAACACCGTCGGTCGTAACCGGAGCTAGAGGGCATAGGTAGTGTATACCGTACCCTCGCAGAAATCTACGAAGGCTTATAGACCGAATGCCTAAAAACTTCAACTTGCCCGCCACAAAATCTAACTATGCCGTTGCCACACTTCAACTCTAGCAGAAACGCCTCGGTAGGTTCCAGGTTCTGTATCTGTTGCTTCAGCTTGGAAGAATTGGCTCCGAGCCTGCCCTGCCGTGCCTTGTAAAAAGGTTGGGTTCCAACAGAGAAAACCCTGGTTCGAAATTGCTGCCGTGCAGGACTTTGGTGACGGATGTTCAGTCTTGGTCCTTTGGCTCCAAATCTGATTTGCCGAGAGTGGTGGGGTTGGGTTGGGAGAGCAGAAATTGCCCTGGTTCGAAGTTGCTGCCTAGCAGCTGTGCCCCGTACACCAAAGCCTCCTATGGCAGGCAGTTGCGTGAGCTGAATGCTGGGGGCAACCCCCACTTTCTGAGGGAAGATAGGAGCAGCTGCATCCGCGACAGAATTTTGAGTAGCTTCACACACCGCAGTCGTAACATGGCGCCATAGCCCTGTTTCCTCCAGCGACATAGGCTTATCCTGAAAATGTTCTTCCGTAGAATCCACCATGATATGCTTCTTCATGTCAACATCATGTTGCCATAACTCGTCGCCAAGAAATATAGAGAAACTTTCTTCTTGAGTTGATAGTGAAGCCATTCGGAAAATTGGTAGTTCTTGAACTGATATGGTCACAGTCGATCGTTTGGTGCGGTCATGGTGCGGTCTCGAAAGAAAGAGCGGGAAGCACCCGAGTCAAGGTTGAAGGTGTGTAAGGCCTGAGCCGACATAGTACCTGAGAGAGCAGACTCACCAGTACCTAGGGCAGCAGACGCACTAGTACCTAGAGCAGCAGCCTCACCAGTACCTAGAGCAGCAGTCTCAATGCCCGGGTCAGGCGGAACACACAGGTAACAGTCACCCTCAACACTATCAGACACAGCATACATGGCAGCAAGAATAGCATCAAAATCAAGATCAAAGATAGCAACCCCCGCCCTAGACAGCTCTCCCCAGCGAGGGATCTCAGAGGCCTCAGGGAATTGGTGACGCCACGCGTCCGTCAGGCGGCCGAAGCAGCGCTGGGTGGAGTGCGGGCCCCCGCACTGCTCACCAGCGCGGTCGCCGGTACGGAGAACGTAGGTGCAGGGACCAGTACCCCCACCGCGCTGACGCGCAGCGTACCACTCACGAAGCTGCTGAGGGGACAGGGTCTCACGACTGCGCTGCTGCTGCTGGCGCGGACCACCACCGGACCCACTCCTCTGCGCAGAGCCGCGACCAGGTCCACCGCTGCCACCGCCGCCTCCGCCACCTCCGCCGCCTCCGCCACCTCCGCCGCCTCCACCACCTCCGCCGCCTCCGCTCCCTCCGCCACCGTCGCCGCCTCCACCGCCTCCACTGCTAGCACCAACACCTCCACCCCCGCCACCACTCCCACCACCACCCCCACCCCCTCCACTGCCTCCACCACCACCTCCACCGCCCCTGCCAGCCCCTCCAGCGCCCTTGCCCCCCTTGCCCTTGCCTGTGAGGCGTCTCCCGCTAGGGGCAGACGCAGCGCCGACCGACTCGAAACCAACGAGGTCGGCCGCAGCAGCAGAAGCAACAGAGGGCAAGAGGGGGGAGGGGGAACACCCCTTAAAGAAGGGGGTGCGAGGGTCACTACGAGAGGCTCCTACAGCGACTATGCTCTTCTCTGCTGCTAGGAGGCGCTCCTCGAGGAGGTCAACGGTGAGTGTGGTGGGGCAAAGTGAGAGGAAGTGATCCCTGACTAAACGAAGGGAGTCAGGGAGGCGTGTGACTATGTAGTAGAGGGTGATGTACATGGGGGAGGGGTTCTTGGCACAGAACTCAGGAGGAAGCGCAGCGCGGTAGCGAATGTCACTAGTGCGAAGGTGCGTAATGAGGTCAGCGACTGTGGGAAAGGCAGCAAGGTCAGGGAACAGGTATGGCAGCATGAGGCGGCTATGCGCAGCAGTGGCAGGGGAGGAGCAGTGTGCAACTACAGCGTCGTACAAGGTCTTAGCACTCTTGTACTGGCTACAGTGTGCACGCTCAGTGGTCGGTAAGTGGCGACGCACAGCAAGGCGAGCAACAGCATCGCGTGTGGCCCACTGTGAGCGAACAGTGCTGTCAGCAGTAGCACGCGGGGCAGGAGAGACACCAAAGGTGAGATCAAACAGAGAGAGTCCGTCTGCCCTATCGCACTGTAGAAACAGCTGGAGGTCATCGACCCAGATCTCAAAGTAAACAGCACGGCCCTCAGCATCAAAGGTAAGGACACTGGGGGTAGCCATGACTGCAGTGGCCTAGCAGGGAGTGATCTCACCAGTCCGAGTAAGTAGGGCCGGGGCGCGCCGGTAGGAACAGTAGTGGCTCGACAGTAGGGCGGCTCGGCGGCTCGGCTGCGGGCGGCTCGGCCGCGGGGCGGCTCGGCTGCTGGGCGGCTCGGCTGCTGGGCGGCTCGGCTGCGGGGCGGCTCGGCGCTGGGCGGCTCGGCTGCTGGGCGGCTCGGCGGCTCGGCTGTTGGGTGGCTCGGCTGCTGGGCGGCTCGGCGGCTCGGTCGCTGGGCGGCTCAGCGGTGACGGGGCCAGTAGAGGCGGCGATGGGGCCGTTGGGGGAGGCGACGGGGCCGCTAAGGGCGGCGAGGCGGTCGCGAAGGGCGGCGACGGGGCCTCCAGGGGAGGGCGACGGGGCCGCAAGTGGCGGCGACGGTGCCGCAAGTGGCGGCGACGGGGCCGCAGAGGGGCCGCAAGGGGCCTAGAGGGGGCGGCGACGAGGCCACGAAGGGGCCGTAAGGGGCCTAGAGGGGGCGGCGACGGGGCCGTAAGGGGCCGTAAGGGCGCCGCGAGGGGCCGGAAGGGGCCGCGTGAGGGGCCGTAAGGGCAGCGCGAGGAGCCGACGGGCGGCGCGATGGGCCGTAAGGGGCCGTAAGGGCGGCGCGAGGGGCCGAAAGGGGGGGGGCGAGGGGCCGTAAGGGCGGCGCAAGGGGCCGTGAGAGGGGCCGCTAAGGGCGACGCAAAGGGGCCATGAGAGGGCGCGACGGTAGAGAGGGCACACTGGGCGCGACTCGGGCAGGAGCGAAGCGCACTCCGGGCAGAAAAAAAAATCGTGGTGGGCCCTAGGAAGCGTTCCCACTAGGGAACCTGCTCGATACCATGATAAGAAACGAGGAATGAGAATGACTAAGTGAAAGTTGGGTACAAATACAAACCCTATAAATGAGTTGTACCCCATATGTGCTACCCCACTATAGCCTACATAGGCTAAGTCATATAAGCCTGACAATCTGAAAGCTTCAGCTTATGACTCCACTTATGCTTGTGACATTTTTTATAGTCCTTAAAACGACCATGGCGATCCCGAGCCTTGACAATGCCACGCGTCTAGGTAATAGCTTTCGCTTTGTCTGTAAGAATCCTTGTGCGAAATCTTTGCTTGAAACGAGAAGCTTTGAGAATGCATCGTCGCCATTGTTCTTCCCTTGAAGTTGAGTGGACCCTAGGAGACAGCGTAAGTTTATAAGCATGATAAATGTTCACTGTATGAACACGAAAATGGCATCTGCTTATAGAGCTCCGGGAGAGGTAACCACTGGTCAGCTTAGAACTTCCATCAGGCAAGAAATTGTGGGACATTGCGACCTCCGAAGTTGCCGGGATGGTATCCACTCCTCCGGTCCCCCATTCCGCTATCTGGTCCCCCATTCCCCTATCCCAACCTCCCCCACCCGCTTTCATTCGGTATTTGTTCCAAAGCTTCCTGCACAAGTCCTCCAGCTCCTTCTGCCCAGTCACCCCTCCTTGGGGCTAAACACCACTGGATCGGCCTCGGGCTACTTTGGTCACTAAGAGTTCCGAGCATAGGGCGCAGCTCCGTGCGGGCTGGGCCAGCGTGAAACGACCACAGCTTTATGGTCGTAAACATTCGTTCACAAAATGTTGGGAACTTCTAATTGGTTGATGCAAAACCAGCGCTGCATCGTTTGATGAGAGCGAGACGTGCGACACTGGGACAGTCCAGTCAGGTGTCGCATGACGGTACTATACCGATGACTGCAGACCTGCAATGTGTAGAGGATGCATTCAATAACAAACAATCCTTGTTGGTGCTGTGAACGCATAATCTTTTCGTTGGTTACCATTTCCAATATGGAATAGCAAGAGTACCTTACCGTACCACTCTTTGTTTCCTTCTTCACAAATTTCCACGTCGCTGAACCATACCTTTTCGTGAAAAAGAGGAACAGCGCGGATACGGTTAGCAGTGTCAATGAAAGCCTCATCTGAAGCTCCTGGCATTGCCATTTCCATGTGAACCTGTACACCCGGAGGACTACATGGCCAGCTTGGTGTGCTGAAAATGCATTGAACGGGGATGCACTTTAGAATGACACTTTCATAGATAGTGCAAACGTCTCGTCCGTTCGACCCGACACCATTTAATGAGCGTCATAGGAATGGGATGTCTTCTTTGAGCGCATCCAAATAGTCATTGTCTCTTTTGGAGTTTGGTGTGACGAAATCCACAAATGGACGTTCTTGACGCCCTGACAAGACAATTATCCCCCAAGCTCTTATCGAAAATGTGCGATTGCCGGTCCTCACAGCCTGGAGTGCATGCGTTTGATGCATAAAGTTTAGATCCGTCTGTGAAAGCCATGATGTTGCATAATAGACCATATTCAGCACATACGTACCTCTCGCATCGCATTGTTGTATTCAGACATTATTACCACACATGATTGTGGCAACAAATCCAATTGCAGTTGTATTTAATCGGCATGAATAATTTGGCCTCTGGCATCGCGCTTGTTTGAGGCACAGTATGGTCGCTTGACATGGTCCTTGTGGAAGAACTCGAACATGCTCGCTTCGTAGTGAATTGGAGGCCCCGCACGGTGAATGGCATTAACGAAGTGATGTATCAAATGCGCCTTGATGAATCCCCACTTGTACAATGGAAGTGCTGTATGTAGCACTTCAAGTAGCCTATGAACATATGCAAGGAAAGTGAGTAAGGGTGACTATAGTTGTTTAAGGGCATTGGAAACTTTGAAAGTGAGTATACTTCTTGGAAAGGTCTTTCAGCTTGGTAAAGTTGTCCTCGGTGTAGTCTTTGAGCTTACCACATGTGTGGTACCACTCAATATATGTCATAACATCATCCATCTGTGGTTGCTGTACGTAGTCTCGGATGAGGAAAGGTAAGACCTGCATGACAGACCTATGCTCGTAGGCTTGGAATGACGCTCCTAGTCGGAAGTATTCACCCGATGAGAGGCGCATTCCGTCAACTCTGCATGATTCTTTGAAGCGTTTAAGAATTCTGCAGCGGGGGGTCAGATCAGACACGTAAAAAGGTTATGCACATTATCACTATTGACGTTGAATAGATTGTAATCACAAGAAATCATACCCGTCAATTGTTGCATGATGCTTGTTGTCAATGACACTATGTAATGCTAAAATAATGTGATCATACATCCCGAGGTCGGCTTGGTGCATCAAACCCGGCATCACCACCATGTATGGGCTGCCCCAAATCTTCGATTCGAAGCGAAACCCGTGTAGTGCACACTGGAAAAGAATAGGACAGGGATATAAGTGTCTAGGTTGATACTCAAATGAAAACACGGGTTGGCGTTCATAAAGCGATCAACCTACATGGACAGGATGGGTTGAGAAGGTTTGGGGATATGGCTGCCCACGCCGCCGTGCCTTTAAGGCTTCCACGATGCCGGATTGTTCTTGCGTTGTGCGATACTCGTTCAGTGTAGAGAAGGAAGCTAAAACATCCCTGAGTACCTTGCACAACGAACATGGGTACTTCGTACCCAGTGACTTCTCAGGATAATCAGAGACGTACCGATAGAGTGCCAGATATGCCGTGAAGAAGTGTCCGCACTGGTCCTGCACCCTAGTGCCCCTGTCCATACATGAGGGATGGGTGGAAAGCGATACAAGCATATATTAGAACCGAGTGGTCGAGAGAGGGGCAGAGAAGCCAAGAGAGGGGCAGAGAGATGGTCAGAGAAGCCGAGAGAGGGGCAGAGAAGCCAAGGGAGGGGCTGGGATGGCAAGCGATGGTCAGAGAAGCCGAGATAGGGTCATAGAAGAGGAGGAAGGGGCTTGGATGGCAAGCAATGGTCAGAGAAGCCGAGAGAGGGGCAATGAAGAGGAGGGAGGGGCTGGGATGGCAAGCGATGGTCAGAGAAGCCGAGAGAGGGGCAGAGAAGAGGAGGGAGGGGCAGAGAGGAGAAGGGAGGGGGTCGGATGTCAAGAGAGAAGGCTAGAGAAGGATGGAAAACGTCCTAGCTAGGTCAGCAAAGCCAACCACACTTGGATGTTCAGAGCTGTACTCAAGGCTACCAATAGTGTGTCGAGGCAACCATGAGTAAGCTTGTCCTCCCACTTGCACCCTCTTGCAAGCTGCTTTCAGGAAGACCACACTTCTCAAAAGGAGAGTGGTAGAGTCCCACTTGACCACCTGTACTTCTTGTCTCACTCTCTGTCCCTGCACCATTGGCATGACAACAATAAAAGGGTGGCAAGGGAAATGCTGCCAACAGTGCACCATGACTACGGAACAGTAACTTTCGACAGCTGTCACATGCTCCTCCGATGCTGGGTTGTCTTGAAATTCGGTGACCACCTGAAAAACACGGCAAAGGAATGCCACAACTATTTTCAGACCAATCAGAGCTTGGTAGATGAGTCAGCAGCCGAAATGGTGAACTCGGGTGTTACCAAAAAAGAGTTACACACACTTCCGGGATGCCATAAGTCTTGAAACTAAAAAAGTGGCCATGCCTTGTAAACTTCTTCAAAAATTCTGAAACTTTGAGGGTGTGAAGAACACATGTTGAAGCACCTCCCCACAAAATTCCGAATGGGAGTGCGATGAACGTGCTACTATAGTGTGTTGGCACAACAAAGGGAACGAAGAGAGGGGGGAGGGGAGGGAATGCAGGGAATGGGGAAGGGAACGGAGAGAGGGGGGAAAGGGAATGCTCAGAAAGAGGAAGGGAATGGAGAGAGGGGGGGGCAAGGGTATATCGGATGGGGGGAGGGAACGAAGAGAGGGGGGGAAAGGAATGGTCAGGAGGGGGATGTGAATGGAGTAAGGGGAGGAAAGGGAATGCTTGGAATGGGGAAGGGAATGAAGAGAGGGGGGGGGGGGGGGGGAGGGAACAGAGAGAGGAGGGAAAGGGAATGCTCAGAAGGGGGAAGGGAATGGAGAGAGGGGGGGAAAGGGAATGCTTGGAATGGGGAAGGGAACGGAGAGAGGGGGGAAAGGGAATGCTCAGAAGGGGGAAGGGAATGGAGAGAGGGGGGGAAAGGGAATGCTTGGAATGGGGAAGGGAACGGAGAGAGAAGGGGGAAGGGAATGCAGGGAATGGGGAAGGGAACGGCAAGAGGGGGGAAAGGGAATGCTCAGAAGGGGGAAGGGAATAGAGAGAGAGGGGGGGAAAGAGAATGCTTGGAATGAGGAAGGGAACGGAGAGAGGGGGAGAAAGAGAATGCAGGGAATGTGGAAGGGAACGGAGAGAGGGGGGAAAGGGAATGCTTGGAATGGGGGGAAGGGAACGGACAGAGGGTGAAAGGGAATGATCTGAAGGGGAAAAGGGCATGAATGTTTGCACGTCAACCTACCGCCTATTCGAAGACGGTAAAAAAAATTGGGGAGTCTTGTTTGAAGGTAAGTTGTGGCGTGAGAAATGTCCTTTCATTTTGCATTTTGTGCTTGCGCATTTTGTGTGTGTTCTGTGCGCATTCGTTTTTGCATTTTGTGTGTTTCGTTTTCATTCATAATTGCATTTTGTGTTAGTGCATTTTCATTTGCAGTTTCACTGTTCTCATGAAGCGCTCAAATGAGGCTCACATGATGAGCTCAAATGAAGTTCTCATGAAGCGCTCAAATGAGGCTCTCATGAAGCGCTCAAATGAGGCTCACGCGAAGCTCTTAAATGAGGCTCATGCGAAGCTGTCAAATGAGGCTCAAATGAGCCTCACATGAAAGTCCCATTTGCTTGCTATGTTTCATGCGTGGCATATGCGAGCGAGTGGTTTTTTTTTTTTTGGTAGGTGGAAATGCATTATACAACGTACAACGCAAAACACCGTCGGTCGTAACCGGAGCTAGAGGGCATAGGTAGTGTATACCGTACCCTCGCAGAAATCTACGAAGGCTTATAGACCGAATGCCTAAAAACTTCAACTTGCCCGCCACAAAATCTAACTATGCCGTTGCCACACTTCAACTCTAGCAGAAACGCCTCGGTAGGTTCCAGGTTCTGTATCTGTTGCTTCAGCTTGGAAGAATTGGCTCCGAGCCTGCCCTGCCGTGCCTTGTAAAAAGGTTGGGTTCCAACAGAGAAAACCCTGGTTCGAAATTGCTGCCGTGCAGGACTTTGGTGACGGATGTTCAGTCTTGGTCCTTTGGCTCCAAATCTGATTTGCCGAGAGTGGTGGGGTTGGGTTGGGAGAGCAGAAATTGCCCTGGTTCGAAGTTGCTGCCTAGCAGCTGTGCCCCGTACACCAAAGCCTCCTATGGCAGGCAGTTGCGTGAGCTGAATGCTGGGGGCAACCCCCACTTTCTGAGGGAAGATAGGAGCAGCTGCATCCACGACAGAATTTTGAGTAGCTTCACACACCGCAGTCGTAACATGGCGCCATAGCCCTGTTTCCTCCAGCGACATAGGCTTATCCTGAAAATGTTCTTCCGTAGAATCCACCATGATATGCTTCTTCATGTCAACATCATGTTGCCATAACTCGTCGCCAAGAAATATAGAGAAACTTTCTTCTTGAGTTGATAGTGAAGCCATTCGGAATATTGGTAGTTCTTGAACTGATATGGTCAGAGTCGATCGTTTGGAACATGATCTTGGTTCAGATTCGTAGTTATTCCTTGTCGTGCGTTGCTGTGATGAGCGTGAAGCTCCTGTGAATCGTGAACGATGTAGGAAGGCAGAAAGTGTTGCACTTGTAGTTCTTCGCGGGAGCCATTTTAAATGTCCTTCACTTTGCGTTTGCTGCAAACAGGATGTATACCCTGTCTTGTCAGAAACCATCGCTGATCCGGATTTAGTCGCTCTTGACGGTGGTAATAAACATGTCCGCGGGTAACGAGACGTTTCATTTCTTGTCTCTTGTCGAAGAATGGCAGAGAAGATTGATAGGCGAAAAATATTTGGCGGTCCAGCTGCCTTGTACTTTCATCACAAAAAACCGAAGTCAGGGTTGGAGGGTCCGAGGTGGCACTCAAGGTAATTTGCCGTGCTCGGTTTTCCGGCTGATTTCCGGCCCTCAAGCATATCGCTTTTCCGATGGAAATCCACTCGCCAGGTTTTGTTTTGTGCGAGGTTGAGAGGCAAAACCGAGTCGCGCGAAGTTCTTCACGGGCTGTCCTGATTTCCGGCGGATTCTCATCGGAAAAAACAGGGATGGTTTGGTGATGGAACAGTGATATATTTAGAATGCGTACAGTCTTCGCATCACACTTGACGCAATCAGATATTTATGTTCTTATGAGTTTTACATTTTAAAGCTGTTTCTATTCAAAAGGTTATCATCAAAGAAATTAATGCAGCAATCTATTTACATGCTTTTTAGGTTGTACAACGGTTTTTAAGGTGGATGTATAGCTCTATATCGTTGCAAATAGGAAGGTTTGAGTGTTTTTTTTTTTTTAACGTGTTATGTTTTAGCAAAAGGACAAAAGAAGCAACATCATTTTTGTCAATAGTAAACATAGCTACATTATATATTTATTCATATGGTATACATCACCATCATCCCCATCAAAGGACTTCACTACATGAACATGGCCTAGAATAGAATCGATAGGGATAACAGTGAATGCGCGAGGGGTGTACTGACCAATGCGCACACATCCAGTCCTTGCGTCATTGCCCAATTTCCGGTAATAATCCACGTATGCAAGTTCATGGCGTTGCCCACCTTGGAAACAATGAAACAACAGCAACAGCTTTGCGTAGGCCATAGTCCCCCCTTCACAGCAAACAGCGATGTCTGAAAACCAGGGCCTCTTGTGGCACTCGGGAGTTGCTCTCACAAAATGAGCAACTCTTGAGGCGTTTGATGCATTGGATGCTGGCACTGCCAATGTTGTATGTGTCTGCCACAACACCACACAGTAGGCATAAGTATATGTACGTACAACTCGCATGGTAAGAGTAGTTGAGAGGGCTTTAAGATGGCGAGAGAGAGAGAGAGAGAGAGAGAGAGAGAGAGAGAGAGAAAGAGAGAGAGAGAGAGAGAGAGAGAGAGAGAGAGAGAGAGAGGGAGAGAGAGAGAGAGAGAGGTGGGGGAAGGGAAGGGAAGGCACGGGGGGGAAGGGCAAGAGACAACAAGGTTATCAACACCATCACTACATACTTGAATGGTTGGCGAGGTAATGCCGTAATCTGCAAGGGCATCAGTCAGAGCTCTGTGTGCATGCAGGTGCTGCTGCGACCACCGTGATGCAAAGAATTTGGCCGATGTCGGGTCACTTGCCGGAGAAACAGCAAGTGCTTCTGATTCTCTCGTCAAGACTGGCCGCCCCGAGTCCATTGCCTATGGGTGATTTTAGAAGGGGAGGGAAATTACCGCTCTGGAATGCGAATGGAATGAACTCAATAGGGGCAAGAAGTGTGGGTGAAGGCATGGGATGGCAGTGATGTTGAGAAAGGCATCAGAGGGTGGAGAGGATGATGATGGCATGGGATGGCATGGAGATTGATGGAAGCGTGGAAGGGCAGAGATGGCGATGATGGCATGAGCGGGCAGGGATGTTGATGATGGCATGGGAGGGCAGATATGTTGATGATGGCATGGGAGGGCAGGGATGTTGATGATGGCATGGGAGGGCAGATATGATGATGGCATGGGAGGGCAGGGATATTGATGATGTCATGGTAGGGCAGGGATGTTGAGAAAGGCATCAGAGGGTGGAGAGGATTGTGATGGCATGGGATGGCATGGAGATTGATGGAGGCGTGGAAGGGCAGAGATGGCGATGATGGCATGAGCGGGCAGGGATTTTGATGATGGCATGGGATGGCAAAGATGTTGATGATGTCATGGGAGTGCAGATATGTCGAAGTCATGGGAGGGCAGGGATGTTGATGATGACATGGTAGGGCAGGGATGTTGATGATGGCATGGGATGGCAAAGATGTTGATGATGGCATGTGAGGGCAGGGATGTTGATGATGGCATGGCAGGGCAGGGATGTTGAGAAAGGCATCCGAGGGTGGAGAGGATGATGATGGCATGGGGTGGAAGAATCAGGTTTAGGATGGCATGAGAGGGATAAAACTTGTTGATGGTGGCATGAGAGGGCAGAGACATTGAACCCAAATCACCCCATAGCAGAAAGAGAGGTTTGATTCAAAACGCAGGTTCGAATGATCTAGTTACCTGCTGCATTATCGTGTACCGAACCCCTTCCTCGTCCTCGAGCGTGATGAAAGCCGCACTTTTCTCGTGATGCTTCATGATTTGTGCGTCGGCGTTGCGTTTGTTGGATCTGCGGTATATTCTCTTCAAAAGAGGACCGTGCAAGTGCTCCCACATGTTTGTCGAGAATTCCGACACATGACCCGCCCTCCGAATGGCGGGAACATAATGCGAGAGGAGGTGAGTCTTGATGATGCACCATGCCGATTTCTGCGTTGGAAACGCATCTTGCAACTTTGCCACAAGACTGTTCATATACGATGTGGAGTGAATGGGGTGAATGGCACATAAGGGGCTGGTAAGTGTAGCAGCGCAGAGTGATGCAAGATGAGCATAACAAAGCTCCACACACACCTCTGCCTCTCTCACCCTACTCCCCTCTGCCCCTACCTGTTATTGGCAGGGAAAGAAGGGCATACAAGGGGCTGACTTGCGAGTACGTGTGGGGAGGTCAGAAGCATGACGGAGTGCCGTGCAGGGAGGTGCCCTTCCCGCCCTCCACAGTTTTGCCACTCGTCCAAGTGGCAGGAAGAAATATGCCCTGGTAGCGGCTGTGTTCATTGAAGGGATGTAAATTAAGCCCCGAACCATGACGGGCCAAAAACAAAAGGGTGGGCAGCGTGTCTACGAGATGGATCGAAACAGCCAAGGGTGGGCACAAGGATATGCACGAATGGGTGGAAGGCGAGGGCTCACTCGTCGGTCAACTCCTGGAGACGCTGAAGGGTGCTCTCTGTGTGCCCGGGGAGCCTTGCACAATAGTGATACCATTCGAGGTATGCTCGAATGGCGCTCAGCTGGAGGTCCCCGAGCTTGTCCGCAACCACAAAAATCAGCACCTGTGGACTCAGGGAAGGTAACATACAGTCCAGGTTACATCAAATGTGAATCTCGCAAACCATGAGTTGTGTAAGGGGGCGTGTGGTATGTAGGTGTTGAAGGTCAACGTGGTAGGAGTTAAGAATGGGGTGGGGAGCATAACACTATAAATTGTGCCCAGATTAGTGGCACTTGCCTGCAGGACAGACCGATGCTCAAAGGCCGCCACCTGTGCATCAGACACGAAGTACGAGGAATTTGGTAGCCGAAGATGAGTCATGCGAATGATTTCTCTCAGGTCCTTCAAACGCCTGAACATGACAAAATGACATACTGATGGTGAAAACACGGTACATTACCGACGACGATCCACTGGCACAACAACATGTAAAAACAATGATTGCCGTGTCATATAGCCATGCATATTCGACCACATGCCATCTCACAACCACCAAATCCAACCTGTCAAACAAAGGCAGCAACTTTTCGTAGTTGAAGCGGATCGCAGCAACTATGTGATGGAGAATCCCAAGGTCCGCTTGGTGCATTATGTCGGGCATGATGACGAGGTAAGGATTTCCCCACGGTTTCCCCCAAACGTCCCACAGCCACAAGGACGACTGCAAGCAAAGGCAAAGTGTTACAACATTGATGATAGGAGGGGGGGGCGCATTGGAGGGGAGGGGAAGGGGACGGGTAGGCATGATATGGCAGAGAGGGTGGTGAGCACATGAGATGGCAGAGAGAGTGGTGAGCACATGAGATGGCAGAGAGAGTGGTGAGCTCATGAGACGGCAGAGAGAGTGGTGAGCACATGAGATGGCAAAGAGAGTGGTGAGCACATGAGATGGCAGAGGGAGTGGTGAGCACATGAGATGGCAGAGAGAGTGGTGAGCACATGTGATGGCAAAGAGAGTGGTGAGCACATGAGATGGCAGAGAGAGTGGTGAGCACATGAGATGGCAGAGAGAGTGGTGAGCACATGGGATGGCAGAGAGAGTGGTAAGCACATGAGATGGCAGAGAGAGTGGTGAGCACATGTGATGGCAGAGAGAGTGGTGAGCACATGGGATGGCAGAGAGAGTGGTGAGCACATGGGATGGCAAAGAGAGTGGTGAGCACATGGGATGGCAGAGAGAGTGGTGAGCACATGAGATGGCAGAGAGAATGGTGAGCACCTGGGATGGCAGAGAGAGTGGTGAGCACATGAGATGGTAGAGAGAGTGGTGAGCACATGAGATGGTAGAGAGAGTGGTGAGCACATGGGATGGCAAAGAGAGTGGTGAGCACATGAGATGGCAGAGAGAGTGGTGAGCACATGAGATGGCAGAGAGAGTGGTGAGCACATGGGATGGCAGAGAGAATGGTGAGCACATGGGATGGCAGACAGAGTGGTGAGCACATGGGATGGCAGAGAGAGTGGTGAGCACATGAGATGGTAGAGAGAGTGGTGAGCACATGAGATGGTAGAGAGAGTGGTGAGCACATGGGATGGCAGACAGAGTGGTGAGCACATGGGATGGCAGAGAGAGTGGTGAGCACATGAGATGGTAGAGAGAGTGGTGAGCACATGAGATGGCAGAGATAGTGGTGAGCACATGAGATGGCTGACAGAGTGGTGAGCACCGTGGATGACAGAGAGAGTGGTGAGCACATGGGATGGCAGAGAGAGTGGTGAGCACATGGGATGGCAGACAGAGTGGTGAGCACATAAGATGGCAGAGAGAGTGGTGTGCACATGAGATGGTAGAGAGAGTGGTGAGCACATGAGATGGCAGAGAGGGTCGTGAGCACATGAGATGGCAGAGAGAGTGGTGAGCACATGGGATGGCAGACCGAGTGGTGAGCACATGGGAAGGCAGAGAGAGTGGTGAGCACATGAGATGGTAGAGAGAGTGGTGAGCACATAAGATGGCAGAGAGAGTGGTGAGCACATGAGATGGCAGAGAGAGTGGTGAGCACATGGGATGGAAGAGAGAGTGGTGAGCACATGAGATGGCAGAGAGATTGGTGAGCACATGGGATGGCAGAGAGAGTGGTGAGCACATGGGATGGCAGACAGAGTGGTGAGCACATGGGATGGCAGAGAGAGTGGTGAGCAGATGAGATGGTAGAGAGAGTGGTGAGCACATGAGATGGCAGAGAGAGTGGTGAGCACATGAGATGGCTGACAGAGTGGTGAGCACATGGGATGGCAGAGAGAGTGGTGAGCACATGAGATGGTAGAGAGAGTGGTGAGCACATGGGATGGCAGACAGAGTGGTGAGCACATGGGATGGCAGAGAGAGTGGTGAGCTCATGAGACGGCAGAGAGAGTGGTGAGCACATGAGATGGCAAAGAGAGTGGTGAGCACATGAGATGGCAGAGGGAGTGGTGAGCACATGAGATGGCAGAGAGAGTGGTGAGCACATGGGATGGAAGAGAGAGTGGTGAGCACATGAGATGGCAGAGAGATTGGTGAGCACATGGGATGGCAGAGAGAGTGGTGAGCACATGGGATGGCAGACAGAGTGGTGAGCACATGGGATGGCAGAGAGAGTGGTGAGCACATGAGATGGTAGAGAGAGTGGTGAGCACATGGGATGGTAGAGAAAGTGGTGAGCACATGAGATGGCAGAGAGGGTGGTGAGCACATGAGATGGCAGAGAGAGTGGTGAGCACATGGGATGGCAGACAGAGTAGTGAGCACATGGGATGACAGAGAGAGTGGTGAGCACATGAGATGGTAGAGAGAGTGGTGAGCACATAAGATGGCAGAGAGAGTGGTGAGCACATGAGATGGCAGAGAGAGTGGTGAGCACATGGGATGGAAGAGAGAGTGGTGAGCACATGAGATGGTAGAGAGATTGGTGAGCACATGGGATGGCAGAGAGAGTGGTGAGCACATGGGATGGCAGACAGAGTGGTGAGCACATGGGATGGCAGAGAGAGTGGTGAGCAGATGAGATGGTAGAGAGAGTGGTGAGCACATGAGATGGCAGAGAGAGTGGTGAGCACATGAGATGGCTGACAGAGTGGTGAGCACATGGGATGGCAGAGAGAGTGGTGAGCTCATGAGACGGCAGAGAGAGTGGTGAGCACATGAGATGGCAAAGAGAGTGGTGAGCACATGAGATGGCAGAGGGAGTGGTGAGCACATGAGATGGCAGAGAGAGTGGTGAGCACATGTGATGGCAAAGAGAGTGGTGAGCACATGAGATGGCAGAGAGAGTGGTGAGCACATGAGATGGCAGAGAGAGTGGTGAGCACATGAGATGGCAGAGAGAGTGGTGAGCACATGAGATGGCAGAGAGAGTGGTGAGCACATGGGATGGCAGAGAGAATGGTGAGCACATGGGATGGCAGACAGAGTGGTGAGCACATGGGATGGCAGAGAGAGTGGTGAGCACATGAGATGGTAGAGAGAGTGGTGAGCACATGAGATGGTAGAGAGAGTGGTGAGCACATGGGATGGCAGACAGAGTGGTGAGCACATGGGATGGCAGAGAGAGTGGTGAGCAGATGAGATGGTAGAGAGAGTGGTGAGCACATGAGATGGCAGAGAGAGTGGTGAGCACATGAGATGGCTGACAGAGTGGTGAGCACATGGGATGGCAGAGAGAGTGGTGAGCTCATGAGACGGCAGAGAGAGTGGTGAGCACATGAGATGGCAAAGAGAGTGGTGAGCACATGAGATGGCAGAGGGAGTGGTGAGCACATGAGATGGCAGAGAGAGTGGTGAGCACATGTGATGGCAAAGAGAGTGGTGAGCACATGAGATGGCAGAGAGAGTGGTGAGCACATGAGATGGCAGAGAGAGTGGTGAGCACATGGGATGGCAGAGAGAGTGGTGAGCACATGAGATGGCAGAGAGAGTGGTGAGCACATGGGATGGCAGAGAGAGTGGTGAGCACATGGGATGGCAGAGAGATGTTGGGTGCAAATTCACATTGCACGACATCCTGCCGTCTGTTTGTACGAGTATGCGTGTGCGAATGCATTTGCGTGTGAATGGTATGTTTGTGTGTTTGTTTGCTTTCGCAATTTTCGCTTGAAGCATTTGCAGGTACTCGCACAATGTGCGCTTCGGCATAACATTGTACGCGCTATGAACAGTACAAGCAGAAAGGACGAGCTCGCAAAGGAACCCAAGATGGAAGCTTTGCGGTTCAACTTACTTGATTGCGCAGATTCAGTTCTATCCAACTCGAAATTGTACTGTTTTGTTTGGTTGACTATAGTGTAGCAGGGCAGGCACTATAGGGGTACAATTTAGGTGAAGGTTGGATGTTGTTTGTCTGTATCTGCATGCTACAGGGCCAGGGGAAACCAGCGGAACCAGCATTTGGCTGGTTGGGCAAAGACAAAACAGGTTCTGTTTTTAGGACCTGAACCTGGTTGTTGTTTTCCCAGGTTGGAAAAACAGAACCAGAGGTTGTTCACCAACCTATCACCTGCTATTTTGTCCAGCCAGGTTGGTTCTGTTGCTTGGAATTATTTGGGATCATCCCTGGTTGTTCCCAGGTTGATTCCTAAGGTCCTTGCTAGCTAGAACTATTTATTCCTTCTCTGTTTGTACCTGAATATAGTGAAATTGATTCAAGCGAATTCCTTCCTTGCTGGAATTTCTTTTCTACGCGGTGCGACGGCGGAATGCTACCCGAGTCAACGCTAGTACGCTAGCACTCCAACGCTAGACTAACGCTGTCCGAGCCATAACTTCGTAATGGCAGAACTTTTCGCGAGGCAACTTGGCTTATTTTAAAGCTCTTAGAGTGAGCTTCGATATAGGAAATTCTCAGCTTAATCCGATCGACGGTCTGCACGATACGCTGCGCAACGTTCAAGGTACTCTTGCTGTTTTGACTAAGTCCCTCTTGATCCCTCTCTCTACAAACTCGGACCCGAGGATAGGGGCTGGTCTTGTACCAGGCACCCAAGGACCCTTGGAGGTGACCCCGAGGAGAGGTTTTAAGTGTGATAAAGTCTTAATAGCTTGAGTTTATTAGGCCCTTACACCAACAAGCTGGTATCAGAGCTGCGTTATAGTGATCCTCGATATAGGTAGCTATGGCGGGCAACACCTCGGCGGTAGCTGGTGAATCTTCAGCCCAAGATCGTAGCGGCAGCCATGATTCTGGTGTTTCTGCGCCAAGGGGAGCGCGAACAAGCCAGGGCTCGCTGATCAAGGAGGTGCTGAAAAACTTCACCGTCGAGAAGTTCAATGGTGAGGGCTATGATGATTGGGCCTGGAAAATGCAACTTTATTTCCGTCAAATCGGATTGCTGAAACTAATGATTGGGGAGGAGCCTAGACCGAGTGACCCCGCCCTTCAGGAAGATTGGGACGAGCGCGCCTCGGCTGGCTACTACTTGATGTCGCAGAGTTTGGAGCTGAACCAGCGTCACCACGTCATGCACCTGCTGCCGGAGGTTGAGTGCGGTCCGAAGGCGTGGACGGTGTTGAAGGAGCTGCACGCCCCGACCTCCGTTGTTGCAACATTGATGCTGGAGAGGGAGCTGTCCGCGTTGCGCCTGAGCGAGGGAGAGCCGGTGCAACCTGTCCTGGACAAATTGCGCGACCTCTACGCGAAGTTGGCGACCGCAGGAATCACCTACCCGGAGCAAACAAAGTGCTTGAAGATGCTCTCGCTGCTGCCGGAATCGTGGCTTCAATTTACGAGCGGATTGAGCCTGCCGCAGAACCAGAGCTTGTGGACGCTCGAGTGGGTGCGGACGAAGATTCTGGAGGAGGACTTCCGTCGCCGCCAACTGAGGGGTGGAGACGACGGCAGCAGCGGCTACGGGATGCAAGGGAGCCGACGTGGCAAAGGACGTGGCTTCGGTGGTGCTGGACGCGGTGCAAAGAAAGGCGACGACTCCAACGACCAACAAGGAGGTACCGGTTGGGGTCGCGGTGCGAAATCTGGACGTGGGGGCAAGTCGGGTGCTGGTGGCAAAATGAAAGGGAGTTGCTGGTATTGTGAGAAGGAAGGGCACCCCTGGTTTTTGTGCTATAAGAAACCCGATGGATGGACCCCCCAGAATCGTCACCAGGATGGCGGCGCGCGGAGGAACCAGAAAAACGGCGCCAACATGGTCGCTGATTCGTCCGACAACAACCCGAAGGGCAACGGCGGTGCGGAGAAGAAGAAGGAGCGCACCGCGGGCCAATTCTTCCATATGGGAGACAAGGGGGAGCAAGGAGACGCATCTGCTAAGGCTAGAGCAGAGCTGCACCCCCTGGACTATTGGGTGTTGGACACAGGCGCTGCTTGGACAATGACGCCGCGCAAGGACCTGCTGGACGACGTACGCGCTGCACCGATTAATGAGGTGTGCTCTGCCTCTGGACACATGTTGAAGGTGGCTGGTGCGGGACGAGCTGCATTTAAGGGAGCGGATGGCAAGCCGGTGGTGCTGCACGACGTTCTCCTCGTCCCCGACCTGAAGGCCAACCTCATCTCCCTCCGTAAGCTTGGCAAGGCTGGGGTGAACACCAACACGGATGGGGCTCGCACTTATAAGGGGAAGCTGGGCAATCGGGTGCTTTGGGATCTGCACGAGAGCAAGGACGTGTACAGATCTATGTGGCAGCTGCCGGCGCTGGCGTGGCACGGTGGGGGGCAGGCTGGAGAGGGGTCTGCATCCCAGGGGGAGTGCAACGCCGTTGGAGGGGTTGGTGTGAAAGTGTCGGCCAGATCTGGGGAGACAGATTGGGCAACTGCACACCGACGTTTGGGGCATGTGGCAATGCCTTTGCTGAAGCAGCTGGAGAAGGATGGAGCCGTTAAGGGCTTAAAGCTGAACGGACAACCACCCGATGATAACTGTGAAATTTGCCTCCTTTCAAAGTTCACCCGTTTCCCCTTCCATAGTGTGGCTGGCAGGAGCAAAAAGCCGTTGGAGCTGGTCCACATGGACTTGGTGGGGCCGCTGCCGGTGCAAGGGCACAAGGGGGAGCGGTACTTCCTAACCATAGTGGATGACTGGAGCAGGCTAATGTGGGCGTATCCGCTGAAGCAGAAAGATCACGCCGCCTCCACGATTCGGGACGATTGGCTGCCGTTCGTGGAGAAGCAAGCGGAGTGTGTGGTGAAGCGGATTAGGACAGATCGGGGTGGTGAGTTCCTTGGAGCTGAGATGACGGCCTGGCTCAAGAAGCAGGGCATCCAGAGGGAGCTGACCACGGCTTACACCCCACAGTCCAACGGTGTAGCAGAACGGGCGAACCGGACAATTCTGGAGACAGCTAGGGCGCTGCTCATAGAATCTGGGCTGGGCAACTTGATGTGGCCCCATGCTGTTCGGCACGCTACTGTCGCTAGGAACAGGGTACTCACAAAGGTTGGGGATGACTCGTGGGTGCCGTTGGAGAGGTGGCTTGGGAGGAAGCCGCCGGTGGACATGCTGAGGGTGTTCGGTTGCATGGCAGTCGCCCACGTTCCCAAGACCTATCGCAGTAAGTTGGGGGCGAGTGCAATCTGGTGTGTGCATTTGGGGCTGGCTGCTGAGAGCAAGGGATGGCTGCTGTGGGAGCCTTCCAAGGGTGTGTTGTTTGACAGCAGGGATGTGAAGTTTGTTGAGGGCATGATGTATGGGAGCTGGGAGAAACAGCCGGAGGCCAGGGTGTCCCAGCAGATGGAGCAGATCACCATGCAGCTGGACCTGACTCCTAGTGTGTGGGAGGAGGGAGAGGAGGCAGCTGCAGAGGGTGGTGATAAAGAGAAGGTGCAGGAGGCACCTGCTGGTGGAGGTGATGGTGTGGAGATTAGCGGTAGCACTAGTGGAGCTGCTGGATCCGAGGGAGGAGAGCAGCAGCAGGGGAAAACTAAGAAGCCGAAGGGTGTTATTATGAAGGGATGGGAGACACCCGTCTCCAGGCCAGGACGTACCCGTATGGCTACTAAGAAGCTGACTGCAGGAGCTGATGTAGCGGAGCAGCAGCTTGGGACCGAGGAGGCATTGCTGATTCTACCGCATGGCTATGACCCGGATGAGGAGGATGAGCCTGCGTACTGTTTTCTTGCCCCTGCACCAGAGGAACCAGCTAGCATGGAGGAGGCATTAGCTGGACCAGATAGGGACAAATGGCTAGCTTCCAGGGATGCTGAGTACCAGAGCCTGCTGGAGAATGGGACTTGGGAACTAGTGGTGCTGCCTGAGGGAAAGAAAGCGGTACAATGCAAGTGGGTGCTAAGGATCAAGACTGACGACAAGGGGCAGGTCACCATCTACAAGAGTAGGTTGGTGGCTAAGGGGTTTATGCAGAAGGAGAAGCGGGACTTCAATGAGATCTTTGCTCCCACTGCCAAACCCCCTACCCTTCGTGTCTTGTTGGCAGATGCAGCCGTTAGTGGGAAGTTCATTATCCAGATGGACATATCAACGGCATTTCTCAACGGGATTTTAGAGGAGGAGGTGTTCATGACGCAGCCACCTGGGTATGAGGATGGTACGGGCAGGGTGTGCAAGCTGAAAAAGTCCATCTACGGCTTGAAGCAGGCGCCACGCTGCTGGTACCAGAAGTTGGCAGCTGTTTTAGAGGAGATGGGATTCAGGACCAGCAGCTGTGATGAGAGCCTCTTTCTCAAGGGGGAGGGGGAGAAGCTGGTGCTGTTTCTGGTCTATGTGGACGACATTCTTCTCTTTAGCAGCAGCATGAAGGAGATCCAGAAGGTGCAGCAGCAGCTGATGGAGAACTTCAAGTGCAAGAACCTTGGGGAGGTAAAGTACTACCTCGGGATGCACGTGGAGAGGGATCTGGATCACAGGTGGTTGAAGCTGCACCAGGAGAAGTTCATCAAGGAGCTTGGGGAGAAGTACGGAATTGAGAATGAGCGCAAGGTTGCAACTCCCCTGCCAGCAGAATTCAAGCTTGTGAAAGCTGCAGAGGATGAAGGGGTTGAAGCCGAGGAGCAGCAGCAATTTCAGTCCTTGGTGGGCAGCCTCTTGTATGCAGCAGTTCACACGAGACCCGACATCTCTTTCTCGGTTGGGCAGCTGGCTAGGGTAGTGCAGAATCCATCAGAGGATCAGGTGGATGCAGCTGAGCGTGTGGTGAAGTATCTGAACTCTCACCCAAGCATTGGAGTTCAATACTCCGCATCTGCACAGGTGAAGCAGAAAGGGGTTGAGGTGCTGAAAGAGAAGGGGGAGAGGCTTGGAGAAGGCAAGCTTTTTCTCACTTGCTTTACTGATGCTACGTGGGCCTCTGAGAAGGAGGATTCCTCATCTGTGGGAGGATACATCTGCGTAGTTGGGGGAGGACCGGTTAGTTGGAGGTCAAAGAAGCAGACGGAGACAGCACTCTCTTCCGTGGAATCAGAGTACATGGCGATGTTCCATGGGGTGAAGGAGGTGATTTGGCTGAGGAGGCTGTTGGAGGAGATTGGCCAGGAGCAAAAGGTTGCTACGCCGCTGTTTTGTGATAGCAAGGGAGCTCTTGGGATGGCCAGGAACGCTGTGCTTCATGGGCTGAACAAGCACATGCGTATCAAGTGGCACTGGCTGCGTAAGGAGGTGAAGAGGGGGACGGTGAATCCGATCTACATCAAGACTCACCAGCAGCCAGCAGACTTCCTCACCAAGAGGCTTGCGGATGAGTCTCATTGGCGTTGTGTGCGCATGAGTGGAATGAGCATGAACTAGTATGGAATGATGGGGATGCAGCCGGCAGGCTGAGGGGGAGTGTGTTGGGTGCAAATTCACATTGCACGACATCCTGCCGTCTGTTTGTACGAGTATGCGTGTGCGAATGCATTTGCGTGTGAATGGTATGTTTGTGTGTTTGTTTGCTTTCGCAATTTTCGCTTGAAGCATTTGCAGGTACTCGCACAATGTGCGCTTCGGCATAACATTGTACGCGCTATGAACAGTACAAGCAGAAAGGACGAGCTCGCAAAGGAACCCAAGATGGAAGCTTTGCGGTTCAACTTACTTGATTGCGCAGATTCAGTTCTATCCAACTCGAAATTGTACTGTTTTGTTTGGTTGACTATAGTGTAGCAGGGCAGGCACTATAGGGGTACAATTTAGGTGAAGGTTGGATGTTGTTTGTCTGTATCTGCATGCTACAGGGCCAGGGGAAACCAGCGGAACCAGCATTTGGCTGGTTGGGCAAAGACAAAACAGGTTCTGTTTTTAGGACCTGAACCTGGTTGTTGTTTTCCCAGGTTGGAAAAACAGAACCAGAGGTTGTTCACCAACCTATCACCTGCTATTTTGTCCAGCCAGGTTGGTTCTGTTGCTTGGAATTATTTGGGATCATCCCTGGTTGTTCCCAGGTTGATTCCCAAGGTCCTTGCTAGCTAGAACTATTTATTCCTTCTCTGTTTGTACCTGAATATAGTGAAATTGATTCAAGCGAATTCCTTCCTTGCTGGAATTTCTTTTCTACGCGGTGCGACGGCGGAATGCTACCCGAGTCAACGCTAGTACGCTAGCACTCCAACGCTAGACTAACGCTGTCCGAGCCATAACTTCGTAATGGCAGAACTTTTCGCGAGGCAACTTGGCTTATTTTAAAGCTCTTAGAGTGAGCTTCGATATAGGAAATTCTCAGCTTAATCCGATCGACGGTCTGCACGATACGCTGCGCAACGTTCAAGGTACTCTTGCTGTTTTGACTAAGTCCCTCTTGATCCCTCTCTCTACAAACTCGGACCCGAGGATAGGGGCTGGTCTTGTACCAGGCACCCAAGGACCCTTGGAGGTGACCCCGAGGAGAGGTTTTAAGTGTGATAAAGTCTTAATAGCTTGAGTTTATTAGGCCCTTACACCAACAAGAGAGTGGTGAGCACATGGGATGGCAAAGAGAGTGGTGAGCACATGGGATGGCAGAGAGAGTGGTGAGCACATGAGATGGCAGAGAGAATGGTGAGCACATGAGATGGCAGAGAGAGTGGTGAGCACATGTGATGGCAAAGAGAGTGGTGAGCACATGAGATGGCAGAGAGAGTGGTGAGCACATGAGATGGCTGACAGAGTGGTGAGCACATGGGATGGCAGAGAGAGTGGTGAGCTCATGAGACGGCAGAGAGAGTGGTGAGCACATGAGATGGCAAAGAGAGTGGTGAGCACATGAGATGGCAGAGGGAGTGGTGAGCACATGAGATGGCAGAGAGAGTGGTGAGCACATGTGATGGCAAAGAGAGTGGTGAGCACATGAGATGGCAGAGAGAGTGGTGAGCACATGAGATGGCAGAGAGAGTGGTGAGCACATGGGATGGCAGACAGAGTGGTGAGCACCTGGGATGGCAGAGAGAGTGGTGTGCACATGGGATGGCAGAGAGAGTGGTGAGCACATGGGATGGCAAAGAGAGTGGTGAGCACATGGGATGGCAGAGAGAGTGGTGAGCACATGAGATGGCAGAGAGAATGGTGAGCACATGAGATGGCAGAGAGAGTGGTGAGCACATGTGATGGCAAAGAGAGTGGTGAGCACATGAGATGGCAGAGAGAGTGGTGAGCACATGAGATGGCTGACAGAGTGGTGAGCACATGGGATGGCAGAGAGAGTGGTGAGCTCATGAGACGGCAGAGAGAGTGGTGAGCACATGAGATGGCAAAGAGAGTGGTGAGCACATGAGATGGCAGAGGGAGTGGTGAGCACATGAGATGGCAGAGAGAGTGGTGAGCACATGTGATGGCAAAGAGAGTGGTGAGCACATGAGATGGCAGAGAGAGTGGTGAGCACATGAGATGGCTGACAGAGTGGTGAGCACATGGGATGGCAGAGAGAGTGGTGAGCTCATGAGACGGCAGAGAGAGTGGTGAGCACATGAGATGGCAAAGAGAGTGGTGAGCACATGAGATGGCAGAGGGAGTGGTGAGCACATGAGATGGCAGAGAGAGTGGTGAGCACATGTGATGGCAAAGAGAGTGGTGAGCACATGAGATGGCAGAGAGAGTGGTGAGCACATGAGATGGCAGAGAGAGTGGTGAGCACATGGGATGGCAGACAGAGTGGTGAGCACCTGGGATGGCAGAGAGAGTGGTGTGCACATGAGATGGTAGAGAGAGTGGTGAGCACATGAGATGGCAGAGAGGGTGGTGAGCACATGAGATGGCAGAGAGAGTGGTGAGCACATGGGAAGGCAGACAGAGTGGTGAGCACATGGGATGGCAGAGAGAGTGGTGAGCACATGAGATGGTAGAGAGAGTGGTGAGCACATGAGATGGTAGAGAGAGTGGTGAGCACATGGGATGGCAAAGAGAGTGGTGAGCACATGAGATGGCAGAGAGAGTGGTGAGCACATGAGATGGCAGAGAGAGTGGTGAGCACATGGGATGGCAGAGAGAGTGGTGAGCACATGGGATGGCAGACAGAGTGGTGATCACATGGGATGGCAGAGAGAGTGGTGAGCACATGAGATGGTAGAGAGAGTGGTGAGCACATGAGATGGCAGAGAGAGTGGTGAGCACATGAGATGGCTGACAGAGTGGTGAGCACCGTGGATGACAGAGAGAGTGGTGAGCACATGGGATGGCAGAGAGAGTGGTGAGCACATGGGATGGCAGACAGAGTGGTGAGCACCTGGGATGGCAGAGAGAGTGGTGAGCACATGAGATGGCAGAGAGAGTGGTGAGCACATGGGATGGAAGAGAGAGTGGTGAGCACATGAGATGGCTGACAGAGTGGTGAGCACATGGGATGGCAGAGAGAGTGGTGAGCACATGAGATGGTAGAGAGAGTGGTGAGCACATGGGATGGCAGACAGAGTGGTGAGCACATGAGATGGCAGAGAGAGTGGTGAGCACATGAGATGGCTGACAGAGTGGTGAGCACATGGGATGGCAGAGAGAGTGGTGAGCACATGAGATGGTAGAGATAGTGGTGAGCACATGGGATGGCAGACAGAGTGGTGAGCACATGGGATGGCAGAGAGAGTGGTGAGCTCATGAGACGGCAGAGAGAGTGGTGAGCACATGAGATGGCAAAGAGAGTGGTGAGCACATGAGATGGCAGAGGGAGTGGCGAGCACATGAGATGGCAGAGAGAGTGGTGAGCACATGTGATGGCAAAGAGAGTGGTGAGCACATGAGATGGCAGAGAGAGTGGTGAGCACATGAGATGGCAGAGAGAGTGGTGAGCACATGGGATGGCAGACAGAGTGGTGAGCACATGGGATGGCAGAGAGAGTGGTGAGCACATGAGATGGTAGAGAGAGTGGTGAGCACATGGGATGGTAGAGAGAGTGGTGAGCACATGAGATGGTAGAGAGAGTGGTGAGCACATGGGATGGCAAAGAGAGTGGTGAGCACATGAGATGGCAAAGAGAGTGGTGAGCACATGAGATGGTAGAGAGAGTGGTGAGCACATAAGATGGCAGAGAGAGTGGTGGGCACATGTTATGGCAGAGAGGATGGCTTATTAGTGGATGGCAAATATGTGGGGCCGTTCATAAATTGTCGTTCGTCCCACTTACATCCACGTCGAACGTCGAATATTCCATCCCAAGTGTTTTCCGCGGCTGCACTTGTACCACCTTGTACCAGTTTTCCTTGATCCAGCGCTGTTGCACTGGAGTGCGTGAGACGTTAGGGGCTGACACGGCACACAAGTGATCCTGCACGAACGAGAGGGAGCACCATTGACTACAAAACCCAGCCAAGACTAACATACGCGATTTATATGTCATTGGATTATAGTTTGATTGATGGTAGATTGCCTAAACAAAGTGCCACATACCTTGTGAGCATAGCATATGCTGCACGGCCGATTGGTAGCACCAGAAAGCGTGCATGTAATTTTGCAGCTCTCGGGAAAATCACACACCCATGCGTACAGGATGGGTATCACATGGTGCTCAACGCCATTTGGGTCCTTCATCATGAAGCCACTGCATTTAAAGGGACCAAATGCGGCTCTGAGAACATGTGCACTGGAGTGTTTGATACTTGGCGAGTGCGAAGGAATGGAGCATGGAATTACCACCGCATGACAACGGCATTGTGGGCAATGAGTTCATTGAAGGACAACAGGAATTGGTTACGTGTAAATTACGATAGGCAATCGGGGTTCGATTTGCAAACATTACCTTTTCAAGCCATCAAGGATGGGTTTAAGCATGAGCTCAACGGCTTTGTGAAACAAATCCGTGCTTTGTGCGGAGCTCATGCCAGCCGGTGGTATGGGGAGATTCCCCAAGAGCACATGGCCAGAAGATGCCCAGCGCTTGCCTTGCGAGATGTTGACGATGCTCATCATCACCGGATGTGCCTTCTTCTTGCCATTGTTGCTGAGGTGTGTGACGTCACTGTACAAAATTATACCAGCAATAACCACGTCTGGTCCAAGCTCCGCCTGACGTTTAAGGTAAAGAGAACCAAAAATAGGGATGCAAAAATAATCGTGTAGCAAAAGGTAGCCGTATGGTTAGTACCCAGCACCTCCTCTCCTCTGTCGCCCACCTCTGTCCCTCTCCTGGCCGATAGTTAGAGAGACAAGCAGGGGGATGGTAGGGGGGGAAGGGGGAATAAGTGCAGGGGTGGAGCAAGGAGGAGCATGGCGGTGAATATCTCACACCTCCTCTCCTCTGTCCGCCCACCTCTGTCCCTCACCTGGCCGATGTTTAGAGAGACAAGCATGGGGATGGTAGGGGGGGAAGGGGGAATAAGTGCAGGGGTGGAGCAAGGAGGAGCATGGCGGTGAATATCTCACACCTCCTCTCCTCTGTCCGCCCACCTCTGTCCCTCACCTGGCCGATGTTTAGAGAGACAAGCATGGGGATGGTAGGGGGGGAAGGGGGAATAAGTGCAGGGGTGGAGCAAGGAGGAGCATGGCGGTGAATATCTCACACCTCCTCTCCCCTGTCCGCCCACCTCTGTCCCTCTCCTGGACGATAGTTATAGAGACAAGCATGGTGATGGTAGGGGGGGAAGGGGGGAGGGGGGAATAGGTGCAATCGGGCCGAGTTGCAATCTCACCTGCGCCTCAGGCCACCATGTCCCCGTCTCCGGCGTGGTGTACCTCCTCTCCTTGGTTTCAGGGTCATAGTCCTCCCGCGGCTTCAGAACGAACCCCGGTGCATTGCGGGGATCCCCAAACAGGTTGGCAAGCGCCTGCGAGGCAGAAAATAGAGGGTGTATCATCTTCGCATCACATTGCTACTTGCATCGAAAGCACAAAAAGGTAAGGAACAGTCACCACACGGACCTGCAATGAGTTGCGGAAAAACAGCGTCTGTGCTGGGAAGCCCGCGACCTTGAAGGTTACAGTGGAGTACCCACGGCCTAGCCCTTGCAGTTGGCTAAGCTCGAATCGCTCGAGCTCCCTGCAGTTGGTGTACTCCTCGAGTACCTTCTGTGCAAGCTCGGGAACCATAAGAAGCTGCAGCAGGGCGTTGATGTCAGTCTCTGCCAAACCGAGGCGGCCGTTGGCTTTCCGCACAAAATGCAGAAAACGGAGGGCTGCAGGATTGGTGGGCGGGGGCCTCCCGAAGCTCGTTGGGATGGAAGGGGGTGGGTCAGCATTTCTGCAGTTAGTGGTACCCGGAGATGATGCTGCAGTATCCTCGTTCGTGGGCCCAGATGGCAGCTCATGCTCAATGTAAGAACATGAGGAGTTGCTGCCAGCAGAGTTATCCCCCGCGTCTTGCACGAGTACGTGATCCTCACGCACGTTAGTGGCCGGTTCTTGATCCGCATGATTTCTCGCATCAGGGACGGGCGAGGTGACAAGAACATGATGTTCTTGCGCGGACGGCCTACCACACTGCCGTGCAGCATATTTCTCACGGCACGTTCCGGCCCAGGCCTTGTGCTGGCCAAAGACTTGCGCACTTCGAAACCACTCTTTGCAAAATAAGCAACGAATTCTGTTGGGATTCATGCTATCTATGGCGGTCCGTCGACTGAAAACCTAGACGGCCTCATGACACGAGTTCCTGACAGCGTGGGCATTATCTGGTTGTTGCGGTCTAAGTTTACGCGGTAGAAGGAGCAAGGGTGACGCACGCGAGCCGCGCGACCAACGAGTACAACGGACAGTTACCGCGGAAGGAAGTTTACGCGAGAGCCAGGTAGCGGAGAGATTGGGCAAGCTGTTCTGGTGCTTGTTCACAGGTTCTAGCGCGTAGAGCTCCGTTAGTCATCTCGGTGAAGCGCGAGGGCCATATTTATTCGTAGCGTGACGAGCTAAGCGAGTATCACGTGCGAATATCGTGTATAGAAAACGTGGTGCTGGTGAGTGGAAGTCTATGAATCAATATTGACAAGCCAGGAGAATAGAAAACGAGGAGGTGAGTTCTATCATGCACATCCACCAGAATCTAGCCTCGCCCTACTCATCATACAGATAAGGAGAGGGTGATGGCGGTTGACTCGGCAGCACGACGCGCAAGGCGACGACAATGCACGTACCTACATTTGGATTTACTAGTTTGAAATTCGATTCGCCCTAGTGAGGGCGTATTTCTAGCTTCCTGTCATTCCGTGTTTGTGACATCCGATATTGTGAGAGCCAATCGGGAAACTCGAGTTTCGAGCTTTGAATTGTTCTAATCGATCTCACAATTTCGGATGACACAAAGCCTCAATGACCTGACTCTCTTCGGATTCTTGGAATACGCCTGAGTAAAGCACCATGTATGCGAGATGGCGGCGCGGGAACGTTTTATCCGCGATGCTGTGTCACTCGAATTACTCGTATTGTTCACGTCTGGGTATATCGTGTTAATAAGTGACGCAGGCGTTGGAGTACAGATAGCTGTTCACATTACAAAAACCCACACCGCATGAATAATAAGGAATCCACCGATGCTTGTAATGGGCACCGCCCGATCCAACTCGACAAAGCAAACGCTGCGATTGGTGGTGTGAAAAGTACGTTCGGCGGGAAATCAGTGACCAATCGCGTCAAACGGGTGTCAGTTTCCCCCCACCCCTCACCGGCTAAGCAACGCACCATAGCACTTCAGTGCCTGGCAGGCCCCACCCCCGGCCCACGCTTCTCGAATTTAGTATGCATCAGACTTGTTCTTCGACGTTCGAAGCTTACAGTCTGTCAAAGCACGGTACTCATCACTGTCTGGAAACTTCTCACGGATCTATTCTCACGGATCTATTCTCTCCAGCCACGCGATAAGGCAACGCTCCCGCTATATCCCGCGTGTAGCTGCGCTGTTGCTGCGCGTCCCTCTTCTCTAGAGTTCAGGGCTATGTCAAGCGTAAAAAAGTAACATCCTGGCGCGCTGCGGTATCGTGAAGTGGCGATAGGTGTCTCGCCGCATTTTAGTGAGCTCCTACACTCCCCTCGCTTACTGCATCACCTCGCGATGCGGAATCGCCATGATTTGGCATGAGTGGCCATCACCTCACCGATCCCCCTACCCATCCACTTAACATTCTCCCCGTCGCGGCATTACCACACATGCCTCTGCCTCGTCGCTTCTCCATCCGATTCCTTTGCTGCTAATCCGCTAACGACGGTTCTTCTTTCGTACACCCTCCGTTGTTGCTGTTCATTCTCTCCCCGTCATGATGTTGCGATCCCTCAGTTGTTTGCGCAGATATCCCCTCACCTTAGATTTGGATAGGCTGCGCGAAAGTATCATCCTCGTGTCTTGCTCCCCTGCGCGCCGCGGGATAGCGCACCGTCAGTTGATGTCGGGCAGCCTTTTGGTGAGCTCATTCTCTCCCGCATCTTGCCTCACCCTCGCGATGCGGAATCCCCGCCGAGCTCCGTTACCCACTTCTCCGCAGACCTCAGGAAATTCGCGCACCTGCCATCACAACGTGGAGTGCTCGCCTCTGCCCTTAGCTACCTCTCGTGCTGCAGTTCCGCTCACACCCGTGCTGCGCCTACGCTCTCTCCCCTGCTGCGTTTCCGCACTCCCTCGTACTGCGCTTAAGCTATCTCCAGTGCTGCGCTTGCGCTATATCCAGTGCTGCGCTTGCGCTATCTCCGGTGCTGTGCTTGCGCTATCTCCAGTGCTGCGCTTGCGCTATCCCTAGTGCTGCGCTTGCGCTATCTCCCTTGCTGCATGTGCTGGCCACTCTCTCCCGTGCTGCGCTTTCACTGAAGCCCGTGCTGCACTTCCGCTCTCATCTCTGCTGCGTTTGAGCTCTCTCCCTTGCTGCATGTCAGCTCTCTCCGTTGCTGCAAGTAGTCTCTCAATCATACTGCATTTCTATTCCAGCCCCTTGCTGCATGTCAGCTCTCTCCGTTACTGCAAGTAGTCTCTCTATCATACTGCATTTCAGTTCCAGCCTCGAGCTGCATGTCAGCTCTCTCCTTTGCTTTATGTCAGCTCTCCCACGGCTCGTTTTATTTATGCATGCAAACCCTGTTCTCACCATGCTGCGCTATTTCTCTCTCCCGTGTTGCGCGCTTGTGCTCCATGAGATGGCGCACGCTTGCCTTTTCTCCCTGTGTTGCGCTGATCGCTCTCTCCCGTGCTCCTCCCTTATTGGCAATCCCACAATCTCTAGTGTTCCACATCCAGCTGATCCCATGCTCCCCCACTGTTCTACCATTCACACACTTTGCAGACTTTCTGCACACACCGGCTTGCTGTACGGCTCCATCCATGGACACGGTCCCTTCCGTTTATGTTCCGGCGGCTGGTGTTGGCCATCCGTTATTTTTGTATGTTGCGGATTATCCTGTTTGCAGCCGGCGAGCAGCGAAGTGTAGGGCCCGTACGGCGAACGTAGACGTTTGGTGGCAGGATCTTCTCAGAGAGGTGTGGCAGCATGATGTTTCCAGAGCACAGTGGCATCAGGACCATTTCAGGGAGGTATGGCGCCAAGGTGTTTTGGATCCGGATCCGCTGCACAATCGCGAATTGGGCATCTGGGATGATATGCTTGTTGGTATCAAGGATCTGTTTGACTAGTATATCTTTGCGTCTGTCACGCATGAGCTTGCTTGTATAAACCGTTGCTAACGAGTATTGAGTGCCGTGCGTCAATGGTATTGCGGTGTCCTATGTTCACATCACCCACTCTCGGCCACCCCCTCATCTCCTTCTCTGCATCCATTAGCACAACTGCTCCCTCCTCACCTCCCCTCCAAACTCCACTCCTTTTCTTCCACTTCATATCCTGCTATGCACCTCATATCCTTATAATGACTCGTCTGTGCACCTCACATACTCATGTGCACCTCGTAAAAATTTCTGAACCTCACATCCTCACGTTCACCTCACATCAATCTCTGCGCCTCACATCATTGGCGAGTTCACCTCACATCAGTCTCTGCACATCACATCCTCACGTTCACCTCACATCAATCTCGGTACCTCACATCCTCACGTTCACATCACATCAATCTCTGCATGTCACATCCTCACGTTCACCTCACATCAATCTCTGCACCTCACATCCTCACGTTCACCTCACATCAATCTCTGCACCTCACATCCTCACGTTCACCTCACACCAATCTCTGCACCTCACATCCTCACGTTCGCCACACATCAATCTATGCACCTCACATCCTCACGTTCACCTCACATCAATCTCTGCACCTCTTACCCTTCACTGCACCGCATATCCTTCTCTGCACCTCATATTCTTGGCTGCACCTCATGTCCTTCTATGCACTTCAATACCTTTTCCGCACCTTATACCCTTCAAACACCTTGCTGCTTCGAACCGGATAGTAGTTCATGCACTATGCCGTGCTCGTCAACCATGAAATCTGTTTTCAAAAAGTATGGATTATAGGCTCTGCACCTCGCATCCTCATGTTCACCTCACACCAATCCATGCACCTCACATCCTCACGTTCACCACACATCAATCTATGCACCTCACATCCTCACGTTCACCTCACACCAATCTCTGCACCTCACATCCTCAAGTTCGCCACACATCAATCTATGCACCTCACATCCTCACGTTCACCTCACATCAGTCTCTGCACCTCACATCCTCATGTTCACCTCACACCAATCCATGCACCTCACATCCTCACGTTCACCACACATCAATCTATGCACCTCACATCCTCACGTTCACCTCACACCAATCTATGCACCTCACATCCTCACGTTCGCCACACATCAATCTATGCACCTCACATCCTCACGTTCACCTCACATCAGTCTCTGCACCTCACATCCTCACGTTCACCTCACACCAATCCCTGCACCTCACATCCTCACGTTCACCTAACATCAATCTCTGCACCTCTTATCCTTCACTGCACCGCATATCCTTCTCTGCACCTCATATTCTTGGCTGCACCTCATGTCCTTCTATGCACTTCAATACCTATTATGCACCTTATACCCTTCAAACACCTTGCTGCTTCGAACCGGATAGTAGTTCATGCACTATGCTGTGCTCGTTAACCATGTAAACTGTTTTCAAAAAGTATGGATTATAGGCAAGAATATGTTTGAACATGTATTCCCCACTGTGCACCAGTCTCACACAAGCCATTTCGCCTAGGCGCTACTGCCACGCCAGACTTGGCTCACCTGGCAGCATTGTCCTTAGACTGCATCGCATCCTGTGAACTGTTCACGTACACGTACAATGCGAATTGCCCGCAACAGTTCAAGCCTCACCGCTCACGCCACCGTCAGTTGCACGGTACTACAAACACTGAACAAGTTGCATCCAATGTCGCGATTGTGAGCTGCCTGGCTTCCTTCTCGAAGCTTTTGCGACCAGCTGCCTGCCTGTTCTATCGACGGTATGCAACCAATCCCCTCTTTTATGGCAAGCTTGCTCTGCCCGCATACGGTATTTAAGTGCTTAGTTCGTACACGTAGGAACACTGGGTGTCCGTGGGAGTCTGAATAGTCGCTCTCATCGAAAAATATGCTTGGTTGTCGGTGCGAGTCCGACGATTTCGTTCCCGCTGGAAAATGTTGTCACACCTCAACGCAAGTGGTCGTGTTTGGCTTGCTGGCATCGCTACTGTTGACATCTGCTTGAGCCAGCTGGTTGGAGACCCCAAATGGCATCACTGTACAGCCAAGACGTTGGAAGACCCCAGCAACGAAGCTCGAACGAGCCTAGCTAAGCAGCTAGGTACTGTAGTCCCTCTCTCCTCCAGCAAGCTAGCTTGCTGGTACCGATCCCTTCCCTCTCTTGCCAATCTGCCTTAGTTGCTCTGAACCTGCAGTCAACCTACGTCGCCTTCACCACTGTTTTACCGTGAGCTACGGTTTCCCGTGTTTCATCCATGGGCGTCGGAGATCAGGGTTAAGAAAATCCCTCGCTGACGCTAACCAACCGGCTCGTGTATTGCCTTCGAGGCGTCCGTCACAATGGGTGATGGTGGCGAGTACGAGGACGAGGGCGAAGAAGGGTACGCAGAAAAAGGGCAAGGGTACGATGGGGAAGGCAACGCATACGCGGGGGGAGGAGGCGAAGAGGGGCAAGGTGCAGGGTACATTAATCAGGAAGGAGAGGAGTTCGGACAAGAAATGGAAGGAGGGGAGGGGTTTGCGGACGAGGAGGAAAATTGGCAAGAGGGAGGAGCGGAAGACGTTTACGCGATGGGAGCGGGAATGGGGAATGGCCCAGAAGGGGAAGAAGGGTTTGCGGAGGACGGGGTGGCGGCATTTGCAGATGCGGGTGAAGGATACGATGGGGAAGATGGAAATGCGTACGCAGGGGACGAGGTGCAGAATCAGGCGGAATTGGGGGAAGGCTACGCGGGAGAGGGGGGGGGAGGAGACGGGAGAGGGGGAGGGGAAGGATATGCGGGAGAAGGGGGGGATGGAGTTGAGGGAGAGGAGGAGGAAGGATATGCGGGCGAGGGGGGGGATGGAGTTGCGGGAGAGGAGGGGGAAGGATATGCGGGAGAGGGGGGGGATGGAGTTGCGGGAGAGGAAGGGGAAGGATATGCCGGCGAGTGGGGGGATGGAGTTGCGGCAGAGGAGGGGGAAGGATATGCGGGCGAGGGGGGGGATGGAGTTGCGCCAGAGGAGAGGGAAGGATATGCGGGCGACGGGGGGGATGGAGTTGCGGGAGAGGAGGGGGAAGAATATGCGGGCGAGGGGGGGGATGGAGTTGCGGGAGAGGAGGGGGAAGAATATGCGGGCGAGGGGGGGGATGGAGTTGCGGGAGAGGAAGACCAATGCGATGAAGAGAACGGCGCTGCAGGCGACGGCGGAGAAGGTGGCGAACCTACCCAGCCGCACAGTCATGGAGCTGAAGATGATGACGACATTGAGAATATCATGTACCCTGGAGCGCAAGCAATGGCCACACAACAGAGCCATGCGTCGACGATGGATGAGGATGTTGAGGACCAGAGAGCGTTGGAGCGGGGTAAGGGGAGAGCAATGGCGACGCTGAATGCTCCTCCTGCAGCGGTACGTGGAAGCATGCTGAAGAACGCCAAACGTGCGGCGAGGAAACGTGGCCGCGAAGAAGAAATACCAGAGCAACCCCGGCAAGCGCGTGGAGTGGGGCGAGGCAGAGGGCGAGGTGGGGGCCACGGAGATGAGCGCGGAGGTGAGCGCGGAGGTGAGCGCGGAGGTGAGCGCGGAGGTGAGCGCGGAGGTGAGCGCGGAGGTGAGCGCGTGAAAGGACGTGGCGGTGGTCGGGGGGGATGGCGAGACGGTTGGCTGGCCGGAGGCTTGGGCGAAGGGATAGGCAAAGGGATAGGCGAAGGGATAGGCGAAGGGAGGGGAGGAGGACGAGGGAGAGGGAGAGGCCGACGGAGAGGAGGAGAGAGAGGAGGAGGGAGGGCCGGAGGTCGGGGAGGTCGTGGCGATGGGACGGGTGGAGGACGCGTCGAAGGGAGAGGGGGGGGGCGAGGCGGCAATCGGGGTGGCGGACAAGGAGCTGGTGGTGGCAGAGGCCGAGCTACTGGCACGGGACGGGGGAGAGGAAGGGGAGCAGCAGGTAGGCAAAATTTGGCATGAGTGGCCATCACCATGCTGCTTGTTATGGTAAGAGAGACAATGGTAGCCTTGGTCTACTCACGCACATGAACGTAGCGTTGCCGGATGAGCATGCCGGGCCGGTGCACTATTTGCGCGAGCATACACGCTCTCACACTCTACGCTCGCCCCATCCCCTTTGTCCATGCGCCCTACGCAAAATGACCCTTTTCCCGTGTTGCCTATGTTCGTGGCATGGCAGTTAACATCGCGAATACGCGTGTTGGCCCGCCCATGGAAATATGCCATGTTCAACTGGGGGCGTCTGCACCTGGACAGCAGTTTCTGGGTATTTTCCAGCAACAGCACATATCACGTGCTCCGGCAGTGGTCCCAACACATCAGCCGGTGGTGGGAACGGGAGGACCTCGGCCAGTAGCTGCAGCAGCCCCACTGAACATGGGGTTGGCACACTCCAATGGTTCAGGGACTGCTGCTGGTCCACCGCGATTCAACCTGTCAGGAGGGCGAGTCGGCAGTGCCTACGCGTCTCAAGGCACAGGCAATGCCCACCCGGCCACTTCAGCCCCTGCACCTGCACGTCCTAGAATGAGCAACGGCGGTGGAGGAAGGGCAACGATGTCAGGGTTACCACGGGCTCACATGCTCAATGCAGGTGGTGCAAGCCGAGGCGGGGTTGCGTCGTACAGACAGGGATTCGGAGGAGCAGGGCAACCTGCACCATCTACTTCGGCAGGACATGGAAGCCGTATGATCCCAGGTCTGGCCCCCGCAGTCTCACCCAACTCCCCGGTCTCAGTCGGGCGTGGACGGGGCAGCCCAAGGGTTAACAGTGCAGGGGGCAGCACTGGGCAGCCCAATCATACGCAGAGAGGATGGGGTGCCATGGCATCAGCTGGTGGTGGTCGTGCAGGGGCACAACCTGGAGGGTCGAACATGGGTGATAGATCCCAATCCAATGCCAGCGGGGGTGGTATGAATGGTGTGGCACGGGGTGCAGCACCTCTGCCATCAAGTGGCAGTCAGGGTCGCGCACCAACGGCTGGCCGATCTTCAGGTTCTCACGGAGTCGATGCAGCAGCATCAACTGGTTCACAGAGGCCGGTTGCAGTGCCAAGGCCAGGAATCGGTGCCGGGATGCCCAGGCCGCGTGCTGTCGCGTCTGTAAGTGAAAAAGTTGCACAAAATACATATGCAACAATGGCTGATCTGCAAGCACTACGGGATGAGCTGCTAGGGCAGCTCTGCAGGCGGTGTGCCGGATGTGACAAGCATGATGCCAACGGGGAGGGTGGCGGAACTCAGGATGGTGGGTCTAAATCGGTGAAGGAGCCGGTGCGTGTAAAGTCCCCGGAGGAAATTGCCCGCGACTTCATCAACGCGGAAACCGGGGGCTGGCAGGTGAGTCATGCGGAATGCGCCTCTTTTCTAAACCCAAGTGTACTCATAACTCTCACTGTTCCAGTGTGCCGGTTCTCTTGTTTGTCGTGGACGTTGTGAGTACAAACCTCCATATAACGGTAACATACTCGCGCATCACCTTGCTTCCATGGCAGAAATTTTGCAGCAAGCTGACGACGTGTTTCTTCTGGACAAACAGCGCAAACGGCATCCAGTTTTACCCAAACGACAACGAAACGCTGATTGGATTAAAAAAGATGATGTCACCGGCAGCTGCTCCACACCTAGAGATTTTGTGGACTTTCAGATGCAAGCGAAGCCTGAAAACGGTCTCCAACACTTACACGAGCACTCGATGCCTCATCGCCAAAAGGCTTCGCAAGAAGGAGCTTGTAGCACTGAGCATCAAGAGAAAAAACGACCACGATGGTGTCCAGGACCCCAAGGAGCTTGACGACGCCGAGCTGTTGATCGGCTATGGGAACGGTGAGTAAGCAGCCATGTATAGGATCTACGAGGTTCCTCCCATCTCCGTCTCGCCCCTGCCTTACTCTCTGCCTGGCAGAGCCACTGCAAGGCACGGAATATTCTAACCTGCTTCTTTCCCCCCATCTTCGTCTCGCCCCTGCCTTACTCTCTGACTGGCAGAGCCTCTGCAAGGCACGGCAGCGGCTAAAATGCTATTTCCCCCCCATCTCTGTCTCGCCCCTGCCTTACTCTCTGCCTTGCAGAGCCACTGCAAGGTACGGCAGCGCCTAACCTGCTCCTTTCCCCCCATCTCCGTTATCCCCCTGCCTTAATCTCTGCCTGGCAAAGACACTGCAGGGCGTAGAAGGTGCCTAACCTGCTCCTTCCCCCCATCTCTGTCTCGCCCCTGCCTTACTCTCTGCCTGGCAGAGCCAATGCAGGGCACGGCAGCGCCTAACCTGCTCCTTTCCCCCCATCTCCGTTATCCCACTGCCTTACTCTCTGCCTAGCAGTGCAACTGCAGGGCGTAGAAGGTGCCTAACCTGCTCCTTCCCCCCGTCTCCGTCTCGCCCCTTCCTTTACTCTCTGCCTGGCAGAGCCACTGCAAGGCGTAGAAGATTCTAACCTGCTCCTTTCCCCACATCTCCGTCTCGCCCCTGCCTTACTCTCTGCCTGGCATAGCCAATGCAGGGCACGGCAGCGCCTAACCTGCTCCTTTCCCCCCATCTCCGTTATCCCCCTGCCTTACTCTCTGCCTAGCAGTGCCACTGCAGGGCGTAGAAGGTGCCTTACCTGCCCCTTCCCCCCATCTCCGTCTCGCCCCTTCCTTTACTCTCTGCCTGGCAGAGCCACTGCAAGGCAAAGAAGATTCTAACCTGCTCCCTTCCCCACATCTCCGTCTCGCCCCTGCCTTACTCTCTGCCTGGCAGAGCCACTGCAAGGCACGGCAGCGCCTAAAATGCTATTTTCCCCCCATCTCCGTCTCGCCCCTGCCTTACTCTCTGCCTTGCAGAGCCACTGCAAGGCACGGCAGCGCCTAACCTGCTCCTTTCCCCCCATCTCCGTTATCCCCCTGCCTTACTCTCTGCCTGGCAGAGAAACTGCAAGGCACAAGAGCGCCTAACCTCCTCCTTTCCCCCCATCTCCGTTATCCCCCTGCCTTACTCTCTGCCTGGCAGAGACACTGCAGGGCGTAGAAGGTGCCTAACCTGCTCCTTTCCCCCCATCTCTGTCTCGCCCCTGCCTTACTCTCTGCCTTGCAGAGCCACTGCAAGGCACGGCTGCGCCTAACCTGCTCCTTTCCCCCCATCTCCGTTATCCCCCTGCCTAACTCTCTGCCTGGCAGAACCACTGCTGGGCGTAGAAGGTGCCTAACCTGCTCCTTTCCCCCCACCTCCGTCTCGCCCCTGCCTTACTCTCTGCCTGGCAGAGCCACTGCAAGGCACGGAAGATTCTAACCTGCTCCTTTGCCCACATCTCCGTCTCGCCCCTGCCTTACCCTCTGCCTGGCAGAACCACTGCTGGGCGTAGAAGGTGCCTAACCTGCTCCTTTCCCCCCATCTCTGTCTCGCCCCTGCCTTACTCTCTGCCTGGCAGAGCCAATGCAGGGCACGGCAGCGCCTAACCTGCTCCTTTCCCCCCATCTCCGTTATCCCACTGCCTTACTCTCTGCCTAGCAGTGCCACTGCAGGGCGTAGAAGGTGCCTAACCTGCTCCTTCCCCCCGTCTCCGTCTCGCCCCTTCCTTTACTCTCTGCCTGGCAGAGCAACTGCAAGGCGTAGAAGATTCTAACCTGCTCCTTTCCCCACATCTCCGTCTCGCCCCTGCCTTACTCTCTGCCTGGCAGAGCCAATGCAGGGCACGGCAGCGCCTAACCTGCTCCTTTCCCCCCATCTCCGTTATCCCCCTGCCTTACTCTCTGCCTAGCAGTGCCACTGCAGGGCGTAGAAGGTGCCTTACCTGCCCCTTCCCCCCATCTCCGTCTCGCCCCTTCCTTTACTCTCTGCCTGGCAGAGCCACTACAAGGCAAAGTAGATTCTAACCTGCTCCTTTCCCCACATCTCCGTCTCGCCCCTGCCTTACTCTCTGCCTGGCAGAGCCACTGCAAGGCACGGCAGCGCCTAAAATGCTATTTTCCCCCCATCTCCGTCTCGCCCCTGCCTTACTCTCTGCCTTGCAGAGCCACTGCAAGGCACGGCAGCGCCTAACCTGCTCCTTTCCCCCCATCTCCGTTATCCCCCTGCCTTACTCTCTGCCTGGCAGAGAAACTGCAAGGCACAAGAGCGCCTAACCTCCTCCTTTCCCCCCATCTCCGTTATCCCCCTGCCTTACTCTCTTCCTGGCAGAGACACTGCAGGGCGTAGAAGGTGCCTAACCTGCTCCTTTCCCCCCATCTCTGTCTCGCCCCTGCCTTACTCTCTGCCTTGCAGAGCCACTGCAAGGCACGGCAGCGCCTAACCTGCTCCTTTCCCCCCATCTCCGTTATCCCCCTGCCTTACTCTCTGCCTGGCAGAGCCAATGAAGGGCACAGCAGCGCCTAACCTGCTCCTTTCCCCCCATCTCCGTTATCCCCCTGCCTTACTCTCTGCCTAGCAGTGCCACTGCAGGGCGTAGATGGTGCCTAACCTGCTCCTTCCCCTCATCTCCGTCTCGCCCCTTCCTTTACTCTCTGCCTGGCAGAGCCACTGCAAGGCACGGCAGCGCCTAACCTGCTCCTTTCCCCGGCATCTTCGTTATCCCCCTGCCGTACTCTCTGCCTGGAAGAGCCACTGCAAGGCACAGAAGATTCTAACCTGCTCCTTTCCCCACATCTCCGTCTCGCCCCTGCCTTACTCTCTGCCTGGCAGAGCCACTGCAAGGCACAGCAGCGCCTAAAATGCTATTTTCCCCCCATCTCCGTCTCGCCCCTGCCTTACTCTCTGCCTGGCAGAACCACTGCAGGGCGTAGAAGGTGCCTAGCCTGCTCCTTTCCCCCCATCCCATCTCTGTCTCGCCCCTGCCTTACTCTCTGCCTAGCAGTGCCAATGCAGGGCACGGCAGCGCCTAACGTGCTCCTTTCCCCCCATCTCCGTTATCCTCCTGCCTTACTCTCTGCCTGGCAGAGCCACTGCAAGGCACAGAAGATTCTAACCTGCTTCTTTCCCCCCATCTCCGTCTCGCCCCTGCCTTACTCTCTGCCTGGCAGAGCCACTGCAGGGCGTATAAGGTGCCTAACATGCTCCTTTCCCCCCATCTCTGTCCCGCCCCTGCCTTACTCACCCTTTCCTGAACTCCCTTTTTCAACTTTACAGAAGAGTGGGGACCGGGCTGGCATGTAGACGACAACACGAGGTGGCCTTTTTCGAGCGAAATCTTCCGTGCGGGAATTTTCGCTGCATTCGTGAGATAGGGCATGACACTGGGGGTATGGAAAACCCGCCAGATTGCGTTTGCATTGTTCGCTGTAAGTACAAGCCCCTTGTTTCTGATTTTGATTTTTTTGTTCCATCCTGTCCAGAATCTTATTGCCTTTTCTTTCATTGCAGTTGGAATACCCGATCTTGGAGAAGACCGCCGACGGGAAGTTGAGCAGCAAACCCGACTACAACAGGCCATTGTACGAGGAGAAAGTCAAGTGGTGCCGGAAGTGGGTGGAGCATGCCGTCACCAACCTTGGGGTCGGCTATGATGAAGACAGGGACGTGTTTGTGTTTGGCAACGGCATCCTCATTGATGCGAGTGACTACGCGGCTGGATTCAAGACGACGACTATTGTTCTGCAGTAGCGCAACATGTTTCCCGGATTTGTTGCTTCTATTGACTACAGAATTTATGTTTGTAGATACATTTTTCTTCAGATGAAGCAAAACAGCCAATTAGTATCATTTGAAATCGTTCAGGTTTAGCTACGTATTAATAATTATTGGTATGAAATATGTAGGAAATAAAATTGGGTCTTGCAACGTTTACATTGTCCATGTTTTGACTGTACAGTATAATAATTTATCATGTTTATTGCTAGGGAATCTCATTTCTACCGAAGCGCGATGGTGGTGGAAATCCGCTGGAAACCGTGTCTTCTTTCCATCGGAAGTCAGCCAGTCCCTTTGAGATATAAAACCGATGGAAAATACAGTGGCGATACCAGTACGCCACTCGGTGGAATTCCGTCGGAACAAGTTGAGAATGTTCCGACGGATTTCCTTTGGTTGGGCAGGAAACCTAACCAAAACCGCCTGTTTTCAAGCCCGGTTTTTTGTGATGTTCTCGTCTCATGTCTTGTGTCTGTGTTGCTTTCCAGGTTCCAGCTTCGATGATGACTTGTGCTAAGCCTGGGCATTATAGCTTCCTTAGAGCAACTTAATGTCTTGAGCTTAAAACCAGTTTAAGAACCTGAAAACAGATCTTCACAAGAGGAAGTCCCGACGAACCAATGTTCTCTGTTTGAACATAAAGTGGTGTCGAAATCAAGCCCTTGATGAGCAGACCCAAAATATGTATTCAGATCTTGAAGCTGATAAAGGTTAGCTTGACATTGCACGAGTTGAAGTTATCGTAGGAACCATGGCGGAGAGCTTGTCTGAGGTCGTATCCCTGCCTAGTGTCAAGAAGTTAGTGTCAAGAAGTGCGCGCACCCTATTGGTCCAGAACAAATTTCCGGCCAATGCGATTGGTCAATCGTTTTTTAACCAATCGCATGCGCAAACTTCTTGACACCAACTTCTTGACACTAGGCAGGGATACGACCTGAGCTGATCAGGCATCACAGAAGTGCAGAAAAAACACACCAGTTCACATATTTCTGATTCTGCAGGCGATGCGAGCGAGTGGTGTATCGTGGGGTGTTTGTGGGGCTCGATACTTTGACTGGTCAAAGGGGGTGCTGTTGACTTTCGCGCTGGTCAAGCACGCATAATCTTGACCGCGCGTGTGGTCCTGATCTCGCGTGTGGGCCCTGAGGGCCCGAGCGTGTGCTCACGCACTGTTGTGAGCGTAGCAAGGCCAATGATCGCAACAAGACAGGGCGAATGATCGCCCTGCCCACGCGCAGTACAGCACGACCAGTTTGTCTGGTAGTGCATGATTGCGCACCTGAGGGATGCGCTCTGTTTCGAGTGGGTGCTGCGGGATTCCGAAGGGTGCTCGGAATTTACAGTTGAAAAACTGTTTTTCGGAGTTGACTCACGGAACAACAAATTGCGCACGAAAGTGGCACCGCTTTGCGGAATGCTTTCGACGCAGGTACAAAACCGTTATTCCGTTTTCTCAACGGTAAAAACCGTTTTACAACTGTTTGCTCGCATGAAATTCATGAGTGCCAAATTGGAGCTTAATTGGAACTCATGAGTGCACTCATTTGAGTCAGCAAGGTAATTGTCATATGTGGAATTTGAAGACAGGTATTTTCAAGAGGAGAATCAAGCCAAATTCGCATGGAGTTGAGCAACCGTTTTCCAAGATAGCAAGGTGAAATTCTAGAATGCAGTTAAATAACTGTTTCGCTATTTTCCTTTGCTTGTATGTGAGACGAAATATAAAATGTGTGCTTGTGCTTGATTGCTCTCAATCCTTTCTAGTGGAAATATTTTCTGAATTTCTTTGGTAAGTTAACTTGCTCTATCAACGTATTGACGTGAAGAGCTATTTCTGCACAAGACCGAATTGATCGTCAACGCTGCGCAACTCAGAGTGGGACTACTCTAGTACTCTCGATTAACGTTATACTTAGTAATTCTCTCTACAAACACGGACCCTTGGATAGGGGCTGGTTTACCAGGCACCCAAGGACCCTTGGAGGTGACCCCGTGGAGATTATTAAGTGTGCGTTTATCGGTGTATAGAACCTTCTAGATCCCAATAGCGGTCAACACGTGGTATCAGAGATGTGGTTCTCAGGAGTGCCGTTAGAACGCTATGGAGTCGAGTGGAAACAAAGGATGTGTGACACGAGCTAACAGTTGAGAAAACTGAAACGAAGATGAATGAACTATGAATGAAATGGGTACAAGTACCAACCCTAATTGGGTTGTACCCCCTATGGGATACCCCACTACAGCCTAATAGGGGGGTATCCCATAGGGGGTACAACCCAATTAGGGTTGGTACTTGTACCCATTTCATTCATAGTTCATTCATCATCGTTTCAGTTTTCTCATGGTATCAGAGCGGTCTCGGGTTCAATTCCCGGTGTATGCACATGTAGGCCGTTGCCGCTGTGCTTAGTCCTGGGCCTCCCATTGTGGGGGGTGTCAGTAGATCTACACTGTGGATGCCCGATTGATCCTGGAGAGGGTTACATGCGCGTTCGCCTGGGGGGTTATGGGCGCACTGACCCGCTACTGAAAGAAGCCCTTTTATCCCAATGGTCTAGTGGTTGGGATTCTGACAACAGTGGAGTGCAAGATGACGGTGGTTCAGCGCCAAGGGGAGTGCGGACCAGCCGGGGCTCACTGTTGAAGGATGTGCTCAAGAACTTCGTTGTCGACAAGTTCAACGGCAGTGGCTACGATGATTGGGCGTGGAAAATGCAGCTGTACTTTCGGCAAGTCGGCTTGTTGAAGCTGATGACGGGAGATGAGAAGAGGCCGAGCGACCCCGTCCTACAAGAAGAATGGGACGAACATGCGTCAACCGGCTACTACCTCCTGTCGCAGACTTTGGAGCTTAACCAGAGGGCACACGTAATGCATCTGCTGGGGGAAGTTGACAATGGGCCACGAGCATGGGCGGTGCTAAAGGAACTGCACGCGCCAACGTCGGTGGTGGCAACGCTCATGCTGGAGCGTGAGCTGGCGTCATTGCGGCTGAGTGAAGGGGAGCCAATTCAACCCGTTCTTAACAAGATGCGGGACTTGTACGCCAAGCTACACATTGCGGGCATCACCTACCCGGAGCAGACAAAGTGCTTGAAAATGTTGTCACTGCTGTCGGAGTCATGGATGGTCTTCACAAGCGGCTTGAGCCTTCCCCAAAACCTAAACCTCTGGACCCTTGAGTGGGTTCGAACCAAGATACTGGAGGAGAAGGAGAAGGCAGCTGAGTCAAAACTATGATGGTGACGGCAAGTACGGAGTGCAGGGCAGCAGGTGGCGCAAGGAACATGGCCGGGGACGTGGTGAACGTGGGCAGAATGGAAGCGGACGAGGCGACAAGAAGCAGAGCAACAAAAATGATGACGAAGAAGAAGATGATCGTGGCAGTTATCGTGGGTTCAAGGGTAGCTGCTGGTATTGCAAGAAGCCGGGACACACGTGGGCGAAGTGTTGGAAGCGGCCCAAGTGGTGGACTCCCGGATGTGAGGATGATGATGGAGATGAGACCGGTGTTGGTTACGTAGCAGAGACCGCAATGGAAAGGAGAAAGGATCATGAGCGTGCTCCAGGGCAGTTTTTTCATGTGCAAGGGAACGGGGGGAGCGAGAAGGCATCTGCAAAGGAGGGAGCAGAGCCACCTCCTCTCAACACATGGATCCTAGACTCTGGAGCAGCATATCACATGACCCCAAGGGCGAACCTGCTCAATGAGATTGGGAGAACGAGCATAAGTGAAATGAGTTCAGGGTGCGGACACAAAATGAAAGTGATGGGGGTCGGCAAGGCAGCCTTCAAGGGAGCTGATGGGAAGCCAATCGTCCTGCAAGATGTGCTTCTGGTGCCTGAGCTGAAAGGGAATCTCATTTCCGTGAGGCAGTTGGGAATTGCAGGTGTTTGCACGGCAACAAATGGAGCCGAGACATTCACGGGGAAGCTCGGTGACCGTGTGTTGTGGGACCTGCATGAAGACAAAGACATGCTTGATGAGCTGTGGCATGTACCCGTGGTGCCATGGAAGGAGGTGGTACCTGAGAAGCAGAATGGGGTGTGTAGCTGCAAGGGAGAGTGTGCTACCGTAGCTGATGAAACTATTAAGGAGCTGAAAACTACAGTGGAGATGCTGGTGCAGCAGTTGAAGCAGGTCAACGCTCGTCTTTCAGCAGCTGAAAAGAGAAATGTGCTCGGTGCTGATGAGAAAAACGGTGCAAAGTTCAAGGGGTGTCAGAATATTATAGCTTATGCTTTTGTGTAGGCTATAGTGGGGTATCCCATAGGGGGTACAACCCAATTAGGGTTAGTACTTGTACCCGCTTCACTCATAGTTCATTCATTCTCGTTCTATTTTTCACATGGTATAGAGCAGGTTCCCCTCTGGGAACTGTGCTTAGGGCCCACCACTTCAAACTTTTTTTTTTCCTGCCCGGAGCGCGCTCCGGGCTCTCTCTCTCGATCTGTCGACCTACCCTACGGCTCCTAGACGCCCGCGCGCCGCCCTCAGACGCCCGCGCGCCGCCCGACCCGGCCCTTCGACGCCCGCGCGCCGCCCTTAGCCGCCCGCGCGCCGCCAGTCTCGGCCCCTAGACGCCCGCGCGCCGCCCGTCCAGGCCCCACGCCGCCCTTAGCCGCCCGCACGCCGCCCGTCAGGCCCCGAGCCGCCGTCGCGCCACCCTTAGGCGCTCGTGCGGCGCCCGTCCCGGCCCGTCGGCGCCGTGTGCCGCCCGTCCCGGCCTCGCGCCACCCGTGCGCCGCCCGTCAGGCCCCACGCCGCCGTCGCGCCGCCCGTTCTGGCCCGTCGACGCCGTGCGCCGCCCGTCCCGGCCCCTCGGCGCCCGTGCGCCGCCCGTCCTGGCCCCTCGCCACCGTCCCGGCCCCAAGCCGCCCGTGCGTCACTCGTCCCGGCCCCGCTCCCAGCCGCCCTTGCGCCACCCGTCCCAGCCGTACGCCGCCGTCCTGGCCCCGCACCGCCCGTGCGC